TCTGCTAGCCCGGCACTAACTCTTCGATATATCTCTTGCTGGAAGTAACCCTGATCCCATTGATAACGAGTGGGACCAAATAATTCAATAGGGGTCGTTGCTGAACCATACCACATAGTTCCAGCAACAACAAAAGCTGCAAAAAAGACAGCCGCGATACTACTAGAGAGTACGGTTTCAATATTTCCCATATGCAATCCTTTGTATAGACGTTGTGGCGGTCGGACGCTAAGATGGAATAAACCCGCTAAGATGCCCAATGTACCTGCTGCAATATGATGAGAAACTATTCCTCCCGGAACAAAAGGTCCAATCCTCCAGGGCAAAGGCTCGATTACATTGACCTTGACATACTTTCTTTTGAATAGAAATGAAAAACTTTGTTATTTCTGCGAGTTCATCGATTTCAGTCTTTCAGTACAGGGCGACTATAAAGGGTGCCTTTTTAACGCTCGACTAAAAGGAGAGGAAGTAAGGCTTTTTGGACCTTGATAGCAAGCAAAAGTTGATGTTGAGCTGGTCCTCGAGAGACAAATGGATTGCATTGGACCGGATCCAGCTGGTGGAGGATACCTGGGGTGATAAGCTTGGTTCGAGGAACCGAAGTGTTCGTACCTCCATTCGTTGATGCCGGAAGGTTGGGAAGCTCGGACCCAGTCATAGGGTCTTTCTTTGGGCTACGAAATCGGGGTTGGACGATGGGTGGAACGTGTCTGGGCTTCAGATGGTTCGGCTAGTAGTGTTGTTGGGCATCAACATCAGTGATGTTGCGATGAAGCTCCATACTACTATGTCCTCTTTCGCCTACTTTATAAGCTCACCTCCTTCGTACCGTAGGTAAGGCATTGCTCTGCAGCGCGGGTCGGGATGCCTCCTTGCGGTTCAGCGGTTGGGCTGCCAGACAGTTGCCATGCCAGCTTTACTGTTATCTTGTTGCCGCAAAAAGTAACCTCGTCATACTATTCGGCATACTTGCTGATTTGAGAACACCCACTGTACTAGTGGTAAATTATTTTACCAAAACCCATAGAAAAGAAAAGGAATTTCAAAGAGCCGTGATCTTGAATAAAAGAGAAATTCCCAGAAAACAAGCGGAGCAATGGGCAGCTGGGAAGGGGGGCTGGCAAAGGATCTAAAAGAGCTGAGACGATAGGGTAAGAGTATTTATAGGTGAGCAAAGTAGCTACGCGACGAAGTATGTTAAGTTGAATTAATCCGCTGATCCAATAGGCTTTTCCTTACGCTCCCAAACCAACATCTGATATCACTAAGTCTGAAGACTTATGAAGTCCAAGACAAGGGACGAGCCCAAGGAAAGGGCCGATCAAGACAATCAACACAAGAGACCGGAGGAGAGCAAAGTGAGACTAACAGAACTTTTCGAAGCGAAGTGAAGTCATAGAAGCCTATCGGCCCCTACTTCTATCGAGCCATGGACATCGTCCAAGCCCTATTTCTTTCGGATATATCTAAGCCAACTAAGCGAAGCCAGGGATGTGATCACCTTTCCTCTTTTTGAATCAAAAGAAAGCCTGGCATCCCCTTCCTATCATATTTGGGGGAATTCACTAGCTTTGTCTCTGCCCGCCCTTCTCTAATAGGGCTCTTCAAGAAAGCTTTGCTTTCATACGGGTTTTGGTCACTCGCTTCTTTACGAAGCGTAGCGAATAAGTCGGTGATCTTATATTGCTAGACGAAATATCCGCGTAGAATAAGACTCTCATGCACTGGCTATCCTTGTCTAAGGAAGGCCCAACTATGCTTGGTCTTTTTTAAGTTGGAAGGGCAAAGGCCGAAAGGATGGATACCGAAAAGGAGAGATAGGGCGGAACCGGCCGGGGTGGAAAAGCTGGAAGGTCCCAGGCCCCAGTATTTGAGTAACTGGCCTAGTTGGTTAGCGAGGTTCCTGGAGCTCGGGCTGGACCGGAATCTTGGTATCAGGGGAGGTATCAGATCATAAGTGACTTTTTGTTGACCTATTCAAAAGAGAATTAAACAACCAATGGCCTTTTTAGTCCAAGGTTCTTTTGCTCCTCCAGAGAAAACCTTTCGCGTTAGCGATCGGGTCGGCCCTTCCCGTGCCCGAGCGGCTTAGGTTTACTGCGGGCGCTCTTGTTCGCGCGCTGACGAACATCTGCATGTCGGTCGGTCAGATTCGGGAGTCGGAGGAGCCGATGAAATTCTTGTCCATCCTGTAGCAGAGGCGATCGAGTTAATTCTGCTCTGAGCAGCTTTGGCTTTGACAACTCTGTGAAAATAGCTAGTCTTTTGATCACCAGCTTCAAGCCAGTTAGTATCAAACTGAAAGGAATGCCGCTACTGGAAAGCTTTATTCTGTAGTTTTCTTCTTTCTAGTTCCGGTTGAGCCAAGGTCACCAGTCCGCATCAGAATCGATGTAAAGGCGGTAAGCTGTGAGATCATCAAGAAAGCTTGGGATAGCGGATGGTAAAAGATCGAAAGATAAGATGTCGTTCAGGTTATTCCCATCTCACCTCATAGCATTATTCATTCTCTAGTTCATGACTAAGGAAGAAGGCTGGCTTGAAAGTCTTTTAGGCTCCATGCACAACATAATGTATGGGAAAAATCGGACAAATGGGAAGATTGACGGAAGCCAAACCGGCCGCGTAAGCGCAATTTCAGATCGATCTTCCTATGAACATTCATTCCATTCTTTCCGACGAGTCCACTATACACAACCTGGATGCCCGACTCCTAGCTTCAACAAATCTTGTTCTTATTCAAATAACATACTGAAAGGATATCAGGTCAATTATATCGAGCCTGCGTCCTAACGAGACTTGGTTGAGTAGATGACTGGTTGTTCGTTCCCCTATCAAAAGGGAATTGATAAAGTATATAATGGAACTTTCATTCGAATGAATTCGTATCTAGCTATTTGCAGTAATAAGAAGTAGATTCTACTTTGAACAGGAACATTCTTAATCAGAATCTTGATGAACTATCTTTCTGGATGGGACCAGTGCTTAGCCAGCCCCACTCACAGATAGCTAATGAGCTAGCTCTTTTAAAAAAGGAACCAGCAATACTGGATGCGATGTTTGGAACAAAAAGACCACCAAAGGTTCCCGAAATGTTCGCAAATGACTTGTCATATAAGATCCCAGTAAATGCCTTGATCCTAGGAGAACGAAGTGAGTCTCGACTAAAAGGAGAGGAGAAGAAGTGAGACTCTAAAAACGAAGCGAAGTTCAGTCAAATCTTCTTGTTCCTTCCTTCCTATTCCTAGGACTTCTAAGACACCTTCTCTTTCTTCTCTCTGACGCAAGACTGTCTTGGGTATGGAGCCAGCGTCGTCAAGTATGGCGTGTGCCAATCCCATAGCTATGTCATCGGCCTTAAAGACGCGATTCGTCAGCCCACCCGGATCTCTGTTCTATGAGCAAAGGCACGTGAGCCGTGGGTATTTACTTGCCCAAGAGGTTACGTCATTGCTAATTTGACTCGGTCTGCGGCTCCATACCTTACCGCCTCTCTTAACGTTGTTGTTCTCCCGGTCCTTCGTATCCTTCCGACTTAGCGGATCAGACTTGGATTAAGTACAATGCTATACCATCGAGCAACCCAAGGGATTTGCGTGTAGCCACGTCTGCCCCCGCTTGATATTTCAGGTTCGATGTAATTGACTCGTTCTTAACTCCACTTTTTTCTTCAATTGCATAGCTTGCGGGATCGAAGGTCAATGTAATCGAGCCTTCCCACCTGCAACTACGAAATAGGCTAGCTGACCTAGCAGTGAAAGACGAGTTCTCTGCTCACAGTCAACGCAACGGTCCAGGTCCTAAAACTACCGCCTTTGCAGCAGAATCTATGTCGGCTGGATGTTAAAGCAACCTTACTAAAGATAAGATAGAAAAGTCATTAATAGGTCATTAGGATCGATTACATTGAGCTTGTGAGGATTCTATGACTGAACTTCGCTCTCCTTGCTTGCTTGCATTCCTGTACTTCACTAGCTAGGGTTAAACAAATACATTCCTATTCTTTCTCGATTGACTTTCTATATGATTTTTGATACCTCTGACTTCAACGATACCAATCAGAGACTGAGCTTTGCCCTTAATTGGGTAGAGAAGGTCAATGTAATCGAGCCTAGAAAGATAGCATCTAACAATATAGTTTACTGTTCCATTCTGATATGAAGGAAGCTGTCATTAGGGTTAAGCAGATAGGTAGGTTCAAAGAATGGGTGCACCCGACCACTGTTGGGCAAATGAGTACGAGCTGTCTAGCTGTGGACAAGAAAGGGGTACTTCGAGGAGCATGAATACAGCTGGCTGTGCTCTTGTAGTCATACCCTCGGTAAGAAGATCCTACCCAAGGACCAAGGATAGCAAGACTCCCACCATAAGCGTGCTAAGATAGTGGAATTCAGTCTATGAAGGCAAGCCTAAAAGTAGAAGCAGTGAATCCTGTCTAATAGCCACGGATGTCGAAAGATCTGGTTCCAGGCCACTGGATGGAAGGGATCAAAGTCAAGTCAAAGTTTACCAAGAGGTAAGCCTGAATGCTTTAGGTTCGCTACGATAGTTGTTACTCACTGGGTGGGTCAACTAGTCATGGTATAGTTGTTTACATGGTAGCTGGTTGGTTCGACAGACCAGAGAAAGAGTCTCACTTTGCTCTCCTCTCCAGGACTTCACTTCGCTTTGAAAAGTTTGTATCGTCACCTTGGCTTTCTCATTCTCCTCTAGTAGTTACAGTAGCCTTGATTGGCTCGCTTTGTTCTTCTCGGAATGAACTGAAGGGTGACTTTTATGACTGAACTTCGCTTCTAAGTTGGGTTTTCCCTCGATCACTTTAAACACACCCCCAAGAAAGAAATTGCAACCTGCGCTTGAGGTCAAGTAGCCGCCATGGCTTATCTCCCCTTCAACGAATTAGAACCCATTGAGGGGGCCTCGGGCGTGGAGTCTCAAAGAGAAATGGGACCGGCGGAATAGGGTGTCAAAGAGGAAGTATGGGTTAACCATATTTCATACTTTGACACTCGAGAACTAGGCTTTCTCTTTTTCACTCAAGATTCGATTGTCGCTTCATGAGAGGGAAGAGCGGATTCCTGATTATGAAGACCTTAGTCGACGTATATGCAGCGGAATCAACTGACTAAGCGAAAGAATCCCGGACCCGAACTCGGCGGTAGCTCTCTCTGCGTTAGAAAGCGACTAGTCTTTCTCGTCCATTCCAGTGGCCAATCTTTCCCTGCTGAAGATCAACACAGAGACCATTTACGAGCTCAATATCAAACGAAAAGATCAAGGGATTGCTTTCGTCTCGACCAACCCTTGACCCTAACCCTCGGCTTTGGCCTTGTCTTGAGCAAGACCTACCTTCACAGACGCCTTTTCCACTAAGTTCTTGCTTAGGGCCGGGGACCGGGAGAGGACAACCTGTTGTTCCTGCTCCTCTTTCTTCGCCCAAGCGAATGAAGGAAGCACTTTCCAAGAGATTGGCTTACTGACTTTTCCTAGGAAGCAGATGGGACTTCTGCTTTTTTTCCTTTCTCTTGGTGCAGTGGAAGTTTCGGTGGAATAAGTCAATCGGTTTACCATGTGGGAAATAGATACTTGTTTTTCTTCCGAAAACAGGGCTTGTTGGCCGGCTTTCCTATTTCTCATACGAGACAAATATCATAGAATGAATGTTCATGCCAAGAAGGAGACTTTGTGGTTTCTCGAGAAGAGAGCTCTCCAACTCACGGAAGAGCTACCCCGGAATAGAATGACAGAAAACTCCCAGAGAGTTCTAAATAATGAGTCTTCTCCGTCCCGTCAGGAGTCTCATCAGAATCATGTTCCTCAGAAATGTGGAAGACTGCCTAGTTCTGAAAAGGGAAGGTTCAATCGTTGCTTTACTATTTACTAATAGGGGCCGATTGATATCAAGTAGGTGTATCAGTAGCGAGACATGAAGGCAAGTCGGGAAGTCGAGCAAGGAAGAGATAGCTAGCTTTTGGCTTCCCCTAAGAGAAAGAAGGGTACGAACTTTTCGAAGCGAAGTTCAGTCATAGACGAGTGAAGAAGCCAAAGAAACTTCTTTACCTAACTTTGGGATCCCTATTATGATGTATCAATTGCTCCTGAAACTACGTCGCGAGTGGTTGAAGTGAATGTAGAAGGCGGTTTATCAGGTATCTTTCACCGGGGTAAGAGCGCGATGCCAAGCTCTAAGCTCATCAGCAATGGGAATCATCAAGCAAAAGACTGAAAGTAGGGGGCCGAGGAGGTTTTTCATACTAATAGATCTTTTTCACGTAGTAGTTTTCTTCCTTCCCTTGAGAAGTTGGCTGGGCTACACTCTTACAGAATTAGCGGATTTGTCTCAAAGAGGCTTTCGACGGCCTTGGCTTTCTTCTCTAAGACCGGATTTTTTGTTGGAGCGGGGAAATGGATTGACCATTCATTCTGTAACGCTGCTATAATAGCAGGAAAGAAGAGTTCAGCCTTTAAGTCCTACACTATCTTACTCCTATTCTATCTCCCTGCTTTTCCTATTGTGATATCTTTTCTAGTTAATGGATTTCCTATGCCGGTAGGAATACAGGTAGTAAGAGTGGCTTAGTCTGCTATTTCACCCTTTTTTCTTATCTCTTACCTGCCGGCTTCTCTTTCGTCTAGTACGAGTCCAGTTTCTGTTAATGAGGAAGGAGCCTGTCCATAGTCGTTAGAGTATACCTAATTTTGTTCTAACTGAGCGCTTGGTCAATTACCTCTCCCCAACGAACGAAGCGAAGCGCAATAAAGTCAAAAATCAGGGTCGATGATAGTTTGATTTCAACTGGTCTTGTGAATCGACCAACGGATCCATAGGCCTTTCTCTCGGACTTACTCTTATTCCTATTCCCACTCTTCTCAACTAGGCAAGGACTTTCGGAAGAATCCTATTAGTACGCGGTTTCAGTAGCAGCATCGGATTTCTAGCTAACAACCAATCAGGGTCGACAAAGTTGAGGATCGATGTAATTGAGACTTCACTTCGCTTTGCTTCGTTCGTTGGCTAGGGCAAGGGCAAGGAAGGGAGGTTCGATATAATTGACCAGTCCGTCCATCAAGCCTAGAGAAAGGAAGTATGCCAGTCGGCGAAAACATTAAGAGAGAATGGCGCTTCCAACGTTTAGATGTCGGAAGACCTTGACGTGAGTAGACCTTCTAAGATCCACCGCGTGACCTGTATGAACACAGCAAATTGACTCGCAGCTACGAAAACAGGAAAGCGGAAACTCCAGAAGAGAGAGTAGGGAGAACCCGAAGGGACACAGGACTGAAGTCAAGTGTAACCTTATAGACCATAAAGATCTTAGCAAATTCTAGAGCACTCACGTTAGAGATGAGGGACTTTTCTTTTGCCCGCATTATCTCAATAAAATGGGAGATTTTAGCCTAAGGCCAATCCACCTATAAGCAAGAGTTAATTTCGAAAGCGGGTGTTCCCATCGCGGAAGCATAACTTTCAAAAAGTTCTATGACTTCACTTCGCTTCGCTTCGTTCCTCTCCTTAGTGCTTATCGCTAAAGATGAGAAAGAAGCATATAAGGGGCAGCCTGATGAATAGCTCAAGCCTTTCGTGTTGATACGCTAAAGCAAACAAAGGCAAAGTCTAAGATTGAGGCGAGCTTACAGGGTGTCTCGGGAATCGAGGAGTGCATTAGCTCTGATATACTATATTAAAAGAACAGCCACTCCTCGTATTGGCTGCATTAGATCTAGTAGCTCGCAGAGGGAATTCGATCCGGCCAGCCCTTAGGTCAATTACATCGAGCCTTACCGGTGCTTTCTTCGTCCTTTCTCTTTCGAATTTGAACAAGGCAGGCTCTGATAAGACCTCTATCGGTTGACCAGGGCCTACCTCTCGCAAGAAAGATGTCTACTATGTGCCCAATGCTCACTCTCCTCAACTTCGTCGATCCTCGTAATCTCTGAATCATTCGAATACAAGTCTATCAGGATTCGCCAGAAGCACTTAAAGTTTCTACCTTCTCCTCTCCTTTATAGTCGTTCGATTACATTGACCTAAGCTCTTCTTTTCGCTCGATGTGGCTTCTGATCTACGACCACCCTCATCTCCTTCCCGACACTTGTCAGACTTCTTCCCGTGGTGAAAGACTGGATTTCTTATCTCATGTCTGCTTTTCGTGAAGGGGAGGGAAGCTGCTGTACCCGATGTCCTTGGGCTCTCATCGAGCCGTGGCAAAGTCAGCTTAGCCTTTCTCCGGTCAGCTGAAATAGCTTATTCAACTCCAACAATTGATTATTGGAGCAATTCCTTATTCAATGAAGGGACAGAGAAGAACTTGAAAGCTCATCAAGTGCAAGCTCTTTATCGATTCATTATTCTTGCCAGTTCCAGAAGTGAAAGTTCCCGCTTAGACCAACGAAACTAAGGCCACCATACATAGGGTCAAGGACTATGCCAAGAAGACCGCAGGCAAGAATCCGCTCTAAGCATAAGGTAAGACCCTATAAATATCCAAGCTGGCCCAAGAGATAGAGAAAGAAGGGGGGCGATAAGGGACGTAAGGGGCTTTGAAGGAATTATTACGGTAAGGCTTTGAGTATGTTGTTCATGCCGACATTCCTCCCTGTTCACTTGGAGGAAAGACGGGAAAATAAGCCTATAGTCCAATTCGACTCTAAGAATCTCATGAAAAATGGACAAAAAGAGTACTGACTTTTGCCGCTATATGAGACTCGAAGTGAACGATTGAAATCCGCATCTATTAGTGGAATTTTCGAAGTAGGGTTTTTCATCTATGTGAGATAGACAAAATGACATTGAATTCCTTTTCCATAGGAATCTCTATCGGGAAAGATCATCCTATGAACATGAATGAAATACTTAGAGAGCGTAGAACATGATCCGTAAGTCGAAGGACACGAAGTGACTCGACCCTTTATGACTTCACTTCGCTTCGAAAAGTTTGTTTGGTCGAGCGAAAGCATTCCATGCGAATGTCCTAGGGTTGTCCCCTCCCGGGCCTGCTGTTCTGCCGGCCGGCATTGCGAATGAATTGACGACCAAATACCAAAACTGACGGAATGGAATAGAGTCAGAGCAGAGATCTAAGACCGGACTCAGCCAAGTCTAAGTCCATGACAGATTCATTTAATAAGGCGCTATGTTAATAGCCCTCAACTTCTACAGAAGATTGCGCAGTCGAGTGCCACGAATCGTAGGAGAGGAGAGCGAAGCTGACCGAAAGGAAAGCGGGTAAACCTGAAGGAAAGGTGTAATTGAGGGAGACACGACATGAGCTTCAAATAGAGCTATTTACGCCTTTGACAAAAATCTCTTTACCATTCCTAGAAGGAACTGGTCACATTTTTTGACCAACTCCTTCCCAAAAAAGAGCTATCAAAGTCTCAAGTAAAGGGGAAAGCAAAACGTAAGGCTCGATGTAATTGACCTTTTACGAAGCATAATATCTGAAAGATCATCGACCGTCGCCGTAGTGGAAAAGGCTTCTTCAACGAAAAGATCAGAACCCAACAGTTCCCATCTTTTGTGCGTTAAGCGGAAGAGTAAGCAGCATAGCATATTCATGGATGGGATGTCTTGGAAAGGCTTTCAGAGGCTTTATGAATGCTTTCTTTTGCACCTCGGCATAGCCTTATCTTTCGTTTTCTTTTGTCGGACTAGTTACCTGAGTCCCTTTACTTGAGGAGGAGAGGTAATAAAGACCTCTGTCTAAGCTAGGACTCCTTATGGACGAGAAAGGAAAGGTTACTCTTCTCTCCTAGAGGGAAAGCTATCGCTGCCATCCAATACCCCAGAAGAGAAGGTTACGTATTCCTCTTCTTCTGGTACTTCAGCTTCTCTTTCTACTGATCTTAGCCCTTCTACAGATGGAGGTTCTTAGCCTGTAGTTAGGGATCCTTCTTCCTTAGCCTGACGGTTCTGGGCTCATCCCTATGCCTAAGTCAGTCCTGTCCCCGCCTAATCACTTGAGATGCTGGGGGAACCGGCAGCTGTGCCCTAACTCACTCCTTTGAGTCATTTTTTCCCTTTTTCAAAGAAAGCCTGGTGTTCTTTCGCCTTGCATAACGTAAGAAAGACAGACTTTCACACGGTCTAAGAGAGAGAAAGAAAAAAAAGTCAGTGACGGCAGAGCTTGAAGTCACTAGAGGCATTCTACTTCCCGGTTCTTTTACCAGCCTACGGCACCTGAGCATCTGCACGACGTTCTCATATGATCCTGTGACTGGGCTGGGCCTAGGCAGTTCGGAAGAAGGGTATCGTCAAGACGAACAATTGCAATGAAAGCTATCGACTGACGAACAGCAATACAATATCTTTCACTCTGGAAAGATTTATTACTGTGTGTGGAATATAAGGTGGAAGGTATCCCTTTATGGTAGCGAGCGAGAAGAACTAGATGGGCTTACTGGTGAAAGAACTTCAGATTCAATAGAAGATGGAACTCCTTACGGAGCGGAGCCTGTATATTCTTGGTCTCTTTCTCTGTCTCTGTCTTATGGTCTGTCGCCCTGCCTGTACCTTTCTTGTAGTCATTCTAGGTCTGTTTCCGCTGGTGGTAGAATAGGAAGTAAAGAACTCTAACTCAGATCTCATTTTTCTCTATTCCGGTAAGAGTCAAATAGAGCTAAGGTAGAAAGATTGAAAGAGAGTTTACAAGTACTTATGAGAGATTTAAGACCCCTATAAGGTAAGGTAAGGAGCATTGGAAGGCTTACTATTTTGATCGTTCCTGCTTATCTCTTATAGGAAGAACTTCAATCCCCTTAAGGAAGAGGAAATTATATTATGAATCATACATTCTCATTCTCATTCTTGTAGCGAGGGCAATTATCATCGCGCCTTGTCTAGTCCCATTCGCGGTTTTGGTGAGGCGGAATGCTTTCGATTCCCCATTATACTAGTTTTCTTTATGGGCCATTGGACCCCGGATTCTCTTTCCTCGAAGGTTAATTACATCAAGCCTCCATCTTCATCCTCATATGTATGAAGGAGAACGTCCATATTAGTACTTTACTAGTAATAAGACTATATTCTCTGTATTCCATTCTAAGTCCATAGCATGGTCAAGGGGTAGGTGGTTTTATGGGGAGGTTGGTGGCTTTCGGAGGGAGGTAAGAACTAACCCGTCCAACAACATATAAGAGATTTTTGTGTTGAGTCTCTCGACCCTTTGACTTAGGATTAGTCAGTTCTATTTCTCGATGGGGCAGGAAAGGGATATAACTCAGCGGTAGAGTGTCACCTTGACGTGGTGGAAGTCATCAGTTCGAGCCTGATTATCCCTAAACCCAATGTGAGTTTTTCTATTTTTCTTTCCTCCCAGATACATGGCTTACATACCCGGCTCAACATTCTTGGAAAACAATCGAATCGAGGAGAGCAAAGTGAGACTCTAAAAAACGAAGCGAAGCGCAGTGAAGTCAGAAGTAGTATGGGAGAGGAAAGGTTCAATTGACGACTAAAAGGAGAGGAGAGGTTTGGGAGCGAAGTTGAGGGCTACGCTTAGAGTGGTACTACTTATGACTGAACTTCGCTTCGTTTGTACCATTCAATCTTGTGAACTAATCGAGACCGAAATTGGAAAAAGAGATACGAAGGGAGAGGAATAACCAATCGATGAAAGAACATGAAACCATTCTGTTTCAATAGAGGTACGAGAAAGGGTTGGGGGCAATGAAGTAGGTGAAGTGGTTGGATTTTGCGAGCTGTTCCAACCACTGCTGGATGTGATTCCAAGAGCCGAACGAGAATGAATACCACACAGAAGAGTCAAGACCAGGCTCCCTAATGGAATGTTTAACCAATCCATTCCGGATCGACCGAATTGGTACGGAAGTTGTAACATGGGAAAACCACGGAAAACACGACTTATTTGAATAACCCGGTGACCCACCAATTGTAGAAGTAGGATTTTTTGAAAGCAATAAGCACTTAAATAATACAATTCAAGTGTACCATCTTCTTTCTCATTTCGAGGAAAAGGTGCGGAAGGAAAAGGAAACAACGGAGGGATCCGAATCGGACCTAAATGGGAATGACATGAAAAGTCTTTTTCAAAACCTAGCATTAAGGGCGTTACGACGATATACGAGAGGAATAGAGAAAAACTCGTGATTGGTGTAGAGGAGAGGATCTGTTTATGATATAGTTCAAGAAAGAGTCGTCTCATTTCCTTACTTTGTAGTTCTTTCTAATTCATTCACTTCAAGACTGGTTCTGAACGCCGCGTAACATCATCTTCAACCAACCTCCACCTACAAACTTTTCGAAGCGAAGTGAAGGAAAAAACCCAAGGGACTAGAAAAAGGAGAGGTAGCTCTTCATACGACTTGCAAAAGAGGAAGTTCAGTCAAAGAGTGAAAAGTGAGTAATGAGATTTCACAGCTATATAAAGTAGCAATGAAATTCAATGCTTTTCCGGAAGTCGAATAGCATATATAAGGAAGTTCCCCCGGATCGCTGACGTTCAGTTCCATCACTCTTCCCTTCCTGATGCTCGTTTCCACTCGTCACTCTCCCCATTCGGATATTGGGATCCACCCATCCTGTAGGATAGGCTGCAAAGACAGAGGCGGAAGAGACCTCTCGACAAAGCCAACAGGAAAAGAAGAAGGATTAGCAATTGAAGCACTTAGGACTGAAACTCAAAGGGCGACTTCACTACCTTTCGACTAGGGGATGTTAGAACTCCCTTTCGAGGGTCGGTCGACTTACTATCTTCCTCTTACTGTCCTAAGGAAGTCTTAGAGTAAAGGGGTACGCCCTTATATATATAGAAGTAGTTGGACTTTGTTCTTGGTCAATGCATCTTTGTTGTTTCCGGCTTTGTTGATGGCTCTCGTTCTTAAAAGTGAGTGATCGGATCTCGCCCCTTTGCTGAAAGAGTGATTGCCTTCCCTCTCCCCAACGAACGAAGGTGAAGTCATAGAGGAAGTTTCGAAGTCAAGTCCCTTCAAATATGAGTGTCAGACTTGCATTACATTATCTCCTGTGCTAAAGCAACTAACTAGAAATCCGCTTTTCCTGGATCCGACAAAGCACTAACCAGTTTAGGCTCCAGCAGTCCGAGCACAGTCAATGGGACAAGACAAAGAGTGGAAGTCGAAGCAAAAGTATACCGCATAGAGAGGCTCTCATGAAAATGATAGAGTCGTGGTCTGACAGAGGACTAACCATCCAAAAGGGAAAATGCACCTACACATTATGGTACGCTATAAGAGAGAAATCTAAACTATATGACATTACCCAACGAACGAAGCGAAGTTCAGTCAAGAATCCTTCCCCCTTTTGATCGACAGTTCTCCTACCATGAAGAAGTGCATTCTTTCATTACTTATCCGTATTACTGTAAGAAAGATATCTGACTTTTAGAAACTACGTACAATTGTCACTGACTCCCTTAGTTCACTTGACCATCGATCAGTTAACAAAGAACCAAGCCAGAACTCGAACTCCATTCGTAACAACTATGAAACTACTAGTTACACTAACTGATGTCAAGTCTTTCCTTGGGTAAATGTTCGAGATGGCTAGAACAAGGCACTGAAAGTGAAAGGCCTAGCTTCTTCTTAAACATTTGTGCATTACTTCTCTTATCTTACGAGATTGGATCTCTAGTTATCTCTCTATGGTAGTACATCTACCTCCAAGAGCTTCCGCCCAGACTTTGCCTGGAAGATTAGAGTAGCCCCATATTTAATTAAACAACTATTCTTCTATTTTTGACTTCACTGCGCTTCTAAAGTATGCTTCGATTGGTTTGCTTTCTAACTGGTGGATTAGACTCGCATCGGCTTATTTAGTTTCTTATCCAGATGAGTCATCCGCTTCTCCGCTTTGTCTGTTCTCGTAACTATTCCTTACTAGAAATAGCGTAAAGAAGAATGGATGCTAGTCATGAGTCCCGTTCGTTGTAAGGCGTAAGGCAAGAAGCTGCGAAGAGTACTACAGGGGAGCAAAGTAAGTGAGACTCTAAAAACGAAGCGAAGTTCAGTCACCGCGTAGTGGGGGAGAGGAAGGCCGGGAAAGATCGGGATGACATCCCACCAAGACGAGGTATAAGGTCTTACTAATCCCCTCGGGTGGTAAGCCTGTCTGGCATAGTAATCTGGTTGGTAAGGAGTTAGATGATCTAATTTTATGAGGACGCTTCATAGCTAAAGAAAGATTTCTATTCGCTTTGAAAGATGAAAATGAGCCAAGATCATGTCCAGAATCTGGTTAGGTAGTTTCCCATCCAAATTTTCCAGTTGCCAAATTCCCGCTTCAGAGGTATGGCTTGCCACACTAGACTCAACTTCTTCCGCTGATAGAGGTTGAAAGCTATGATCAATAAGAGTCCCACATGGCGCTTGGACATACAGAGGGGGTCCAACCAAAACGTCAGTTGTTTGGCCTTCACATGGTTAAAATATGCTCCCAATCCTTGCACCAAGACATCTCTGCCTTTCAATATACTCTTCCATGTGGATGAGTGATGTGCCTTTGCCGAGGTAGTTAGGGAGACTTCAATCCGCCTTTGACTATGGTTCAGGTGTCAAATGTCAATGGTAGCTTGCTCGATGTAATTGACCTAACCATCTGTGAGATCGGAGATCCCCAGTCCTCTTTAACGCCACTCTATCGCGGCCCATAGTCTACCTGGAAAACTGTCTCATCTGTTCTCTAGTCTATCTCTATCGATTAAGATGAGGTATTGTCTATGACTGAACTTCGCTTCTATGACTTCGCTTCGAAAAGTTTGTTGGGTCAATGAAATTGAGATTCGATCTTCTCCTTTCTCTGGGTACGGTACAAAGAAGACCAAGTGGATGGAACAACCCTCACCTCCAATCGACACAGTACCGAGCCAGAGCAGTCTAACAAGGGACAAGAGACTCTTTGTTTACAGCTTCACATCCTAGTGCCAAGGTGCCCAGCCGTATGATGAAGATATGCCGACATTTGCTATTGGGTAGTCCCTCGATTTCGAGTCGGAGATTGCTGGGTGTGCGCTTCTAGCTCCTACATTACAAAAAAGTATGCCGACGATGGATGCCCTTGGGCCGTTCAACCATCAAGACAGAAGCAAGCCTTTGACCGGGTTTACATCTTTCTGTTCAAATTCAACCGGCATACTGAAATCGATTGCATTCTTCCATTTTGCTTAAAAAAGGACTTCGTTGACAAAGATATTGGTTACATAAAGCGTACTTCCTTTCCTCTAGGGTGACCACCCACTTCTACTTACGCTGATTTCAAAGCTTCTCCCATTCCTCAAAGCCCCTTCTCGAGACACTCTTTCGTAGTCCCTTTGCCTTCTACTTTTCGATGCCGACCCCTTAGATGTCACTTCCTCTATCAAAGAAAAGAACGGCTCCATCAGGAAAGACAGTAAGCCACGGAAAGGAATAACTGAACTTCGTTGCAGGCATAAGGGATTCAAAACCAAAAGCACTAGGAAGAGAATGCTCGTTCTACTTTGAGGGAGAGATCGCTCCTTTAAGGAGACGGAATTCCACCACTTGAAACTGATTCAACAACGGATTCTTCTTCCAAGAGAAAGAAGAGCAAGAACATCGATTATTCTGCAGCAAGCTTCCTTTATACCTCTGTCGTCTTTTGCCGGGTTAAGTCCCGCTGAGACAATAGATAGTCAGGCAGGTGGCCGCTAAGAGAGATTCTTTAACACCACATCAAGCATTTCACCGGCTTTGAACTCCTCCCCCACTTCTTACCTACTCCAGTCTCTCTAATCTTCCATGAAATAGCATAAAGCAGAATCTTAATCCTAATCAGACTGACCAAGAGCAATCGCAGCTGAGTCAACTCTATCCATTCTTGTTCCAAGCTAAAAGCTTGAGGAAGAAGAGCTTATTCAACTCGAGTTCGCCACAGAACCCATCTCTGGAACCGAAGCCATGGCCAAAGTTCAACCACGTGAACGCTACAAGCTAGTCTCATCCTTATGCCCTCTCCTTTATATCTATATGTTGATTGAGACCCTCTGGTTCCTTCTCTCCTTTTAAGGACGTTAGCAAAAAGCGCTTAACTTAAAGGCGCCGGCTTCTTTCCCTAACCCTAAAAAGAAGTGAATCTGGAAGTGACGCCGCTAAGGTCAATTGCATCGAACCTTTCTTTTCTAGGCTTTCTAGCCCTCCACTAGAAAGAGATGCGTGAAAAAGAATACAGTTCAAGCAGAAAGCTAGTAAAGGCACTCGATTAACCGGTTTGTTTATATCGGAGACCTTTATTCAAAAAGGTAGAAAGGAATCCAAAAAAGGTTGGTGCTAACTCTGCATCGATTCCTCTCTTTTTCTTCACTTCGCTTCGCTTCGTTGGGTTAGCCTTTCTTTGACTGTCTAATCTCGGGCAAAGGAACTGACATCTTTGTTTAACCATTCCTGTCTTTCCATAAACTGTATTGAAAAAGTCGATTAAGGGAAATTGGATTGATGCCAAAATGTCCCACTGTTCGGGAGGAGAATGCGCTCTTAATAGTAGTGCAAAAGCGAAACCTTCTGAGATGGGATGCCGAGAATCTGCTACCAAGTCAGTATGACTAGGAGTGGACCTGAGAAGGGGAATTTCCTATGTCAAGCAAGGTAGGTTGAGTCACCGAGGGTCCAAGCTTTGACTTTCTTTCACGAAAAAAAAGTTTGAAATTCTTTATTCTGTTCTTTCTCCGATTTTATATATAAAGGGCGACTTCATTTCTTTTCTTTCCAAGCACCGAAAGAATAAAAGAAGCGCGTGACACAGGTTGTCTTCGGCTCATAAGAAGTGAAATCTGCTATTTCTTCGTATGCTTTTGTTTTGTCACCAGCGTCAAAGGCACGAGAAAAGAAAGAAAGCCCTTTCTCACCTTTCCTTCTTAAATAATCGATATGAAAGCGCTTTCATAGGCCACCTTGACTAGGTTGATCTTTAATCATCAAATCACGAGTTTCAGTCCAGGCAGTTCAACAGGCTATTCCCTGCCATGCCATATCTCCAGCCAAACCAATTGCAGAATATAGAGAAGTCTCCGGAGTTCCAGTTCGAGTGTTTTAAACCCTTGATCCAGCTCTATCTCTAGCAGATGGAGTGGTTGTGCCCTTTCCAGCAGTTTCTGGGGAAAGCAAGCTAATTACAGGAGGTAAGATGTATAGTCAAAGTAGGAATCTTTCCCCCGTGGGAGTTGCTGCAGTCTGGAATGTTTTATAAGATCCTCTGTCTTTCAAAAAGAAGCCAAATTCTATCTCCTGCATTTTGAGTTCTAAGTGCTTTGATAGCGGGCCATGCAAGGGACTAGTTTCATTTTTGAAAAATTTTCAATATTAATAGGTATGATCTTGCCCTAGGCGGTAACACTTTCTCTAAGAGGGCGGCTAGGGATTTCTATGGACCCAAACAAAAAAGGAAGAAATTCTCTACACTAGTCTCATATGCTTTCTCTCAAGACAAGTAGGCAAAGGGCTAAAGGGGCAAATAGAGCTCGTAAACTGTAAAGAGTAGAGAGATATTCAATTCTTCTTCCTCATCTGCGAATCGAGCTTCTCCCGATCTGAAAGGTAAGAGCAGATTTTATTTTTCAACTTAATGAGTTGCAGAATCTTCATTCAGTTAAGGTAGCCAAGGAGAATCCATCATGGTTTGGGAAGAAGGGAAAAATACACTCAATCTATCCAGCAGACAAGTTTTCAGGGGCAAAGAAAGTGACGTCTATTTCCATTCTAGTTGTAAGCGCATCCCCTTTACGTCTAAGAATGCTCGGGCCCTCGGCGAGCCTGTCCTGAGGTTTGAGTTGGAGGTCCAGTCTTGGGGGCTCCTTTAATGAAAGAATCATTAACCTGAGTCTAAGTCGGTGGAAGCGAGTGAGAAAGACATTTTTTTTTTAGTGCCTCTTCAGCCGTTGAGAGCGGATAGGCGAGAGGGTCTTCTATGAGGATATCCCCGAATCGTCGGTTCACGAATCGGCTACAATTAGCTGTCGTAAGGCCTCTCTCAACTCAATGCTTGGGAGCACTTTCTAAGATCTTGCCAGTAGTATGCTTTAGAGCTAGTTGATTAGACCCCCTTTTCCTACTTCTCCTGCTCCTGCTAGGGATGGACAGGGACCTGGCTAGCGCTATAGCTTTGCAAGGTAAGGAAATGTTCAACTCGTCTGCTTGAAATCGAGAGAGTCAGTAGAGCGGCTGCTAATCATGGTACGAATTCTCTCTTTAGGTAAGTATGATGTTCAAGTCTCAATGAAAGTCTCTATTTCAGTATGGAAAATTGCTCAAGTGGAATCAGTTGAAGTTGGCATATAATAATAAGTATAAGCGCCTGTCTTCTTTTATTAAGGAATTTCTAGAGAGGAATCCCCTGTCCCAACTTCTTACCTTCGGAAAGATTTAGCAAAACAAGCGCGAAGGAGGTTTTCCATGCAAAGCTCGCCGGTCCAAAATACGGTTTTTTTTCATGCATCTTTCCGTTTTCCGTTGGGAGCAAAGGAGAGGGAAAGGCTTAGTACACGGAGATCCATGCCGAAAGACACTCTCCAACCTTGAGATTCCAAGGGGGGTCGAAGAAAGACAAAGCTTCGGGTCACATAAAGACATGAAAGGCATTGATCGGGGAGGTTGCAACCTTCTTAGGATAGGAGCTTTTGCCTATGAGTTAGCGGAGTGAAGTAGAGAAAGAAGTAACTAGGAGTAGTAGCGCTTGCGGCGCAGAAGGAGCTTGACACTACGTATGAAAAGAGCTCTAAGACGAGTGCGGTCCCTCATGTAATTCCTCGTACCCCTCCCTTTGAAGCAATGAGGTAGGTCAATTACACCTCAACTTTAGAAGCGAAGTTCAGTCATAGAATTATAGGGCAGGTTCAAATAAAATACTTATGGTGCTTCCAAGAGGAACCAAACCAAGACTTGCATGGTGCTGCCACGGGACATTCTGGTAAGTCGGGTGCTGGTGGAATAAGCTCTCGTACAGGGATAGATCCTGGAACCGTCTTTCCTTTTTTACTGCTGTGAGGTTCAGGCCTGAACCATCTGTCGATCATTGAACTGAGAAGAGGTCAGCTAAGCGGTTTTTGGCTTGAGCACTCAGGTTTACTATATAAATTATTACCTTGTGCACTAGCAGTAGCTCCATAGTATAACTATCTTGCTTGGTCCCTAAGGAACTAGAGATATTAGATAAAGATGGATCTATCTTTCTTAGCTGTGTTTGTGTAGGTGTCAACCCCAGCATGCCTTCCAATTTTGAAAGCTAGAACTTTCCGTTTTTAAAAAAAAACCAGCACTTTACAGCAATCCTGGGGAAAGTTGGCAAGTTTGAAAGTAGTAGTCTTTACCAAGCGCTTGGGCCTTAAGAGGCCAGTCAAGAGAGGGAAGTCTAGCCCCAGTGTAAGAGTCTTTCCTAGTGGCATTCCTTCTATTGGTTGGGATTGTTCCTATGTACTGAATGCCAAAGCTATAGTACTGGCAAGATCTTCTCAAGTGATCCCAAGCATTGAGTTGAGAGAGGCCTAACAGTTATTTCATATTTTAGGGGTATACCCGTAATTCCAGCCATTGGGATACCTACAGTTGCAGCCTCTCTCCTTTCTGTCCCTTAGGCCATGGGGACAAGCTACCCACACCGCTCTGATTCAAAAGGTATCTCCGGTGCTGACGATGCTAATCGACTTTCTTCTTTCTTTTTCCTTTCCTTTACCTTCTTTTTTCTTGACTTTCTAGCATTCCTTTCCCTTTCGCGTAGAAGTACTTTTTTGACTAGTTAGCTCTCCCTTACAGTACTACTTAGCTATCACTTTCGCGTAATCTTTCTTTACTTACAGAATTTCATTTCAGAGCTAGCAGAAAGAGAATGTGAGTAATTACTGTAAATATCAGTATACCCTCTAGCCTAGAGCTTTTCCATTCTCTCTCACTGCTTACCAAGCTGCGAGAGCACTCTACTTAGCCTGCTTACCAAGCTTTTCTTTCTCAATTTCTTGATTCTCTACCGAAGCGAAGGGGAAGACCATACATTATGCTCGCTTGTCTTGTGTTTACTTCCGTCACACAAACCCATTAAGCTAGCAAAAAAAAAGTCTATATCTTACTTACCACCCACAAGAGCTAATAGCTAAAGCTACCAGCTGAGGTGAGGATGCTAACTGCCCCATGAGATCAAGACATAGCATGGTAGGCGAAAACAAGGCCAACTACCTGCGCCTTCCTATAGCTTAACTATACTTTATGGAGCCTTGCTCACGTTCCAATGCGGGGGATAGTTTTTATGTCCATCTCCTTGTAAACGACTGAAAGCCCTTTTGAGAGCTTTGCGATCCCGTATTTGACCGGTTCACGCTGCTACCGGCTTCAATTTTCGACTTTTGCTTGACACTCCCCACGGGGGGAGGCTCTGTTCTCCAACAGACCAGGGAGTGAGTATAGGGCTTCAATTCATAATAGGATCAAGTGGCATATGGAACTCCAAACCTAAGGTCTAAAGCTGGCCAAGGCCTGAAGCCGGCTCTGAAACCATGGGGAGGCAGCAGGCGTGGGGTAGGTCAGTGAAGCAAGTGGACCTCTGGCCTCTACTAGCCCACATTGGTTGCGGGGGGTATCCGTGATAAGGCCGGGCGGGTTTGACTGACCTACCATGTCCCATGGTAGGCTAAAGCGGAAAGCCTAGTTCTGAGGATCTTGTGGCCAGGAGGTCCAATAGGGATTTCGTAAGATTGGCCTAACCAGTATGTACGGGTATTACGTTATAGTCTTGTTTCCAGTCTTCCCCGGATACGAGATCCATATAGACTTTATGTTGAATACTATGATAATCTTCAAGATAGGTTTTTCAAATCGGGACTAAGAAAAGTCTTTTTTTCCTATCCAACATGGAAAAGCAGTAGATCCTCTTTTCTAAGCTAGAAAGCTAGTTCACAATAAAGCAGAGGGGTAGCTAATGGAAAGCTACAAAGCAGGGGAAGGAGCTAGACCACCAACCTCTTTCTGCCGGCAAAGGTATGGTTCGAATACGGGATGCTGCGACCAAAGCGTATAAACTTCCGCTCCCAGGGCAGCTAAACAAACAAAGGGTATAGAGGTGTAGCTAACACTGGAAAAGCTCCAAGCCGGTATCGGCGAAAACCCCAGCCTAAAGCTAAAGAAGGCTTGATGTAATTGACCTTGCTACTGGATGAATAGCCTTAACGTCATTCCATAAACTAAGGTATACCAGTCCACAGGGTAGATCGAAGATCCATTTCGAATTTCGCTGGATTAGCCATTTTGATATATCAAGTTAAAAAACCTAGGCTTGTGAGTGTCCATATGAAGCTAAAAAGCGCTTTCACAATGCGTCAGAAAGCTTTGGAGGTTTCAACAGACGAATCACATCTGGATCCGGCTATTCGTGTTACGAATCCATTCCCCTGCACCCTTGTCACGAGTTGGAATCGAAGCGGTCAATCATAAAATGAAGGATAGAAAGCATCCCCTTGACTCAGCCAGGGAAGGAGGCGCACCCACGGGCACTTGCCGGAGAAAGAGTGGCCCAAGAGAGGCGAGAGGGACAATAGACCTCTAGTAGGGAGCACCTCGTATTGACCACCGGTACGAGAGGGATGGAGGCATGACCAACGTGTGGACCACCGGCATGAGGGTACGTGTGGATCGCCTCGTGTTGACCGCCGCTACCTATACTCAGTATACCCGGCGCGGCGGAACATGGATACGTCTAAAGAAAAGAGTAGTCTCCAAGCTGCATTCGCACTAATCCTGTCTAAACGTTCCTGAACCCTTGCAAGACCTTTTCGCTTGTTGCACCACGTAAAAGCAGGCCCCTGAAAAGCCCAAAAAACTCAAACCACAAGTAGCCTGAATATTGTTGAAAAGTAAGCATCTGTTCATAGAAAACCTCCTCTCCTCCTAAGACCTAAAATCCCGCATCTATTGATTCAACTGGGATCGGTAAAGAACCAAGGTATCTATTTCGTACTCTTAGCTTCGAAATCTCATACATATTAAATGTATCGTAGCATAGCTACTCTAAACGAGAGTTCGCCAATCGGCTCAGTCAGCTCTTGAAGGGATCCTTCGCTCTCTTTCAATTGAACATTCAAAACAAAGCGTGGCTGANACAACGGGGCTATCTTTCCAAGAAAGATGACTTTCTTAATTCCCTTCGTTTTTTATGACTTCACTTTGCTTCGCTTCGTTCGTTGGGTCGATGTAATTGAGCTTCGAATATAAGAAAAAGATACCCTCCAAAATATCTGCATTCCGTTATCGCCTAAGACAATGAAATTGTAAAGTCCCTAATAGGAGCTTACGATCGGACTTTTCCTATCTGTAACGGTAGGAGCATTAGTAAACCATATATGGCATCTGTCAACTCTTTCCCTTTGTCAAAATGAAACTGAGGATAGATGTAATTTAGAGGCTGCTTTCTGAAAAAATGGCATTTCCTAGCTTACTTCTCCGCTAACGCGCCTCGTACATCACCATACAAAATTTAGGAGCCCTACCAATTATTGCTTCAACCCAGCTCGATAAAAATGAGATAGTCAAAGAGAAGAAAAGTCCGGTCGGTAAGAAGAAAGAGTGAAAGAGCTGGAAGTGAGGACAGATGAACTCTAAAGGGACTTTTCTTCTATTGATTCCAATTCAGCCTTCGTTACGGCATCATTCAATGATTCTCTCCGTGGGGGTAGAACCCGAGGTCGTGGCAATCGCGGTCAAGGCCGTAACAATGACTGGCAGCAACGTAACTACCATGGGTACAACAATGCTTCAAAGCCGAATACAACACAGCAGAGGCAATATCCGGTTTCGGTCCCTAGTTTTGATCGTTCTAACCATGCTCGTAGTACTTCGTCTTTTTTCCCATGCAGGAGAACGAAGTCAGTCTCGACCATAGTACGAGGAGAGGAGGAAGCTCGCAACAAGCATAGTTCGGATGGTTAGGGGAGAGGGGGAAAAGACTACTGATTGAATCTTTCGTCTATATTGGGCTAAGACCTCTATCTTGCTATTAGGTAGGAGTAGCTTTCCTTCAGATCAATATATTTATAAAAAAACTCCTAACTTCAGTTTATGATCCTTAGAAGGCAATCCCCTTACTCTGGATTAGAATCTAATAGAAAGGGGTCAACATTACGAAATGAGCCAGGTTCAGTTCTGACTATAGCTGCAACCTATCTCATATTTGGCCGCCCGCGATCAAAGTCGAAAGATCATAAGAGAAGAATTTGAAAACAACCTTTTTATGGGCTTTCCCCTAAGGGGCTCATAATGGAAGCTCTCCCGATGAAATCGTTTCCGAAGGAGCTCATGTAGACAGCGCGCGTCGAAGTGAGTGATCGTTGGAACATCTTATTTCACATAGTTTGATTTCCGGTCCGCTTGCCGATTGCGTTCATTTCCGTATTCATGCTTGAATTACTAGCCTAGTTTATTGGAGTGGAAGCGGGTAAGAGCTTCAGACGTCAAGTAATCCCCGGCCGGGAGTGGAAAGCGTGAGTCACCTGATCTAACTCAGTCTTAGCCAGAAACCCCTCCTGCCTTTTCCTAGGCATAAACCAATGTAGGATGGGATAGTCACACTCAAAAAGCTGTGATTAGAGGAATATAACTATGCAACAGCGAATATGCCTACTTTCGGATTCACTGTAACAAGCCGTTTTTCCACTTTCAAACCGTCCTCTTAGTTGTAAACTAGTCTGAGAAGGGTCAACGTAGATAACATTAGGCTGAGCGCAGCCTCAATTACATCGACCCAACGAACGAAGCGAAGTGAAGTCAAGGAATTTGGCCCAGGCAGAGTTAGTGAGCCGAATGAGTAGATCATTGACTGGGGCTGGCTCATTCCACTTCTACTATGAATTTCTTTAGTAAAGTAGGCATAGCACAGCTTATGGTCTCACTCCTCTGATCTAGCTCTCTTGATATGGTTCGTGATAGGTCTAGAGTGCAAAGTTGGCTCATATAGCCATTTACAGGCATATCTTTCTTTTAGTGGCAAGCCCATTCCAAGTACTTTCATTAACCCTGGGTCCTAGAGATCCAGTTTCAACCGTCCGGAAAAAGCCATTCCCGGGGAGACAGTTGCAAATGATAAGCCAAAGTCCGAAAACACTAAACAGGGACTAATCCGCTGCTCGAATCACCCGTGGAATCATCCATCAGGACCTGCTGCGGGTAATGGGGAGCACTCCTCAGCTCTATGAAAGCAGGTGGTCTGCCCCTTCGCAAGAGTATCTGCACATCTATTCGCTTCTCTCCAAGTATGAACAATTCTACAATTCAAATTTCTAGAGAGTCACTCTTTAATGACCAGAAGAACATTTTGGTTGGGATCAAACTCATTCTCCACCTTCAGCGCATTAAAAGCTAATTGAAAATCAGATTCCAATAAGACCTTGCGAAAACCATTACTCCAAGCCAGCTCTAAGCCTTTAAAAATTGCCCAACACTCCGCCGTGGTACTAGAAGTGATACCAATACCACTTTGAAAGCCCACAAGCCATCTACCTAAGTGATCTTTGGCCACCCCAGCAATGGCAGCACTACTAGGATCACCTCCCACAGACGCATCAGTTTGAATCTTTACCCAATCTTGATTGGGAGGGGTCTCTATCGGACTTCTTTTTTATACGATACGCAATTCTACCGGAAGGTTAGTAGAATAGGTGCGGCTAACGAAAAAGGAGAGTATACTGCTAGGCGCGCCAGACATCTCCTTTATTCCGCCGACACGGGACGTCTTCGATGTCCAACGAATCCACACAGATCTACTTCCCCTTGGATCCTTGGTAGAGGAGGCAATCCGCAGCCAAGCCCTTTCCTGCCAACAGGCATCCTAATGAAGAGAGAGAACTAGGCCTATAGGCCGTAGCCTCTTTCATAACCTCAACTGAGGCAGCAAAGTAAATAGAATTCGCAAGCATTGCGTAGGCTTATCCGGCAGGAAGGAGTTGTCGCGAGGTTTGATGGAATTGACGATCTACCGCTCGCCTTAAACCTTACATACTTTGAACGGAACGAGAAGGGGAGTGCTTTACCGGACCAACTGGGAAAGGAGAGGAACGGAGTAAGTCGAGCAAGGCGAGAGGAACGACCGGCACAGCTAGTTGCTTTACCGCGGGGTTTGATAAAATGCTTGACCATCGGGAAAGGCAGAAAACTTGTGTATTACCGGCAAGGTTCAAAGACGCTCGAGCAAAGCGAAGAGGTAGCTTTGGGCTAGCTTGACTTTACCTTTCAACGGATGGGTCGGTTCTTGAACTGGGTCATTTTCTTAGTGAATCGGCTCTGACGCTCTGCGTCCGTGGGATCAACTCTATTGCCGAGATCTGGAGGATCCGCAACTTCAAGCTCTCGAGGGGGAACAGGATCTGCTACTGCTGATAGGTATGTAATAGAAGAATCTGGATCAATGTAATTGAGGGATATGAAAGACGATATGCTCGAACCGGACCGCATCTCGAAACGCACATGGAGAATCTGCTGGTGGACCCCCTTTCCTTTCTTTGAAAAAAAAACTCGGTCGAATACGTCGTTAACCTTTGTGGTGGATCGACGAGAGTGCGCCTAGCCAGGAGTGTGGGTGGTGTCACCTCCCGTGCGCTAGCTGTGCCTTTGCCGGATGTTTATTCGCCCACTCCTTCACAGAGCGATGACTAAAAGCCGGGAATTCTGTTAGTAGAGCCTGAAAGTAGCGCTTGGCTCGATTCCTACCACAGACGGGGATACATTTCATCCATATCGCCGGCCTCACATGGACGGAGATTTTTATGCTTATCATATCACGGCTTCCTAAGATGCTAACACAGAGGCTACTATTGCTACGGGAGCTTATTGGTGGAGCAAGAAGAGCGGAGTAATGTCCACGTGGAAATCTTTTTCTCAATTACATCGCCCCAACGAACGAAGCGAAGCGCAGTGAAGTCAAGGAATACCAAGCTAGCTACCTTAGGAAGAGAAAGAGAGCAACTCCTTTCACAGCTCGTCACTAATACCCCTTAGTGACTTCTTTTGTCTTTTACTAGAGAGCCCCATTAACCAGACAAGCTATCTCACAGAAAGGATGACGAAGGGCCAGTTGACGCAGCAAGCGTCAGCTATGAAACCTCCCCTTTCTTTAAGCCTTATGATGTAATTGACTAATTACTTATTCAGTAATGGACTAAGGGATATACCGATCCAGAAGAGATGGGTCAAAGGCCAACCTTGGATTTAGCCTACTTTCTTTATGCATATCCAACGACCCTCATGGAAGATTCCCTTCTAGGGGTCTCTTTCTCTAGAATAGATCTTTGTGATTCAAAGCTTTATCCTTGAACATTTTCATTCTTTCTTTCACCCAGTAAGTGCTATCTTGAAGAAGGAAAAGTTCTGTCTGGGGATAGCGAAAACTCGCAACTTCCCCGATTCAATTACTTTCTGCGGCTGATACCTCTTCCCCTGCTTGAAGTTTTTTCCGGTTAGCCGGATCGGATTAGTCGCCATAAAAAGGAATCCACTAATCCCGGTCATCCCAAGCACCCTATTCCGCCCAATAACCAGAGAAAAAGGGGTCCCAGCGTAAGGAGCCACTCCTCCCCCTAACCTATACAATGTAGCCTATGCGCAGCAAGCCGGAACTGGCTAGCTTTCCAATCGCAGGCTTACTTGCTTTCCTTCCCCGGCTTTGAGTCTAATTCTGGGGTTCAGGAATAGGGGAAGATTGAATCTATTGGTATGGGTCCTAATCGCTCGTAACGATCCTTGCAGATCCCTTCTGTTATGAGTGAATCTCTATGGCTTCTTTTTTTTCTTTCGCCCGGCGAGACTTCTTAGTTTTTGAATGCTTTTAGTCCGAGGAAAATAATGAACCAACAAAAGCACGGGTGTGATGTTTCAACCCTAAGATGAGTATTCGTGGAAGGTTTCCCAATCATCAAGCCTACCGGGGAGATAACTTCAAAGAAAATCTTACTCATATCAGCGTTTTCTTCTTGTTCTTTGCGGTATAACGGCCACTTAAATTTCAGAATCTCCAGTTTGGTTGGACATAAGTTCCTATACTTGGAGGTACGAGCTATATTATTATCTAGAATATATATATCTCATTCTTACTTCCCTCATTCGCCATGCTTTTTTTGGATTAGAGGGTGGGAGCTGGATAGGATCGTTGGGAAAGTGCTTTGTAAGTGAAGTGAGTTGAATCAAGCAGAGTTGCTTTCTAATTCCCTGGCAGATGCCTAGGTAAAGGGTGCTTTCGCTCTTCTCTTGTTCAATTTCTTACGGGTTAATTTCCGAATTTGCTTTGAGACCACTAGGTTTCAGTTAGTCCGTTCCTGTCCAATCTCAGTTGTTTATGGTTGAATAAGGGGCGCCAAATCCTTTCTACACTTCGAAAAGTTTGTAGGGTTGACTTTTATTTTAAGCATTTTATTCTTCTTTCTATTTCTTCTTATTTTCCTTCCTATAAGAGACTTGCCTCTATCCTTTAGGAACACCCGACCCAATCTTACTTCCTACTCTCCTACGAGGGTTGTCTCTTTCTGCTTCCTATTCACCTCCGGAATGCTTTCTTCAGAAAAATTCTAGTATGGAACTTTAAGACAAGATTTGACTTATGAAAGCAAGCTCGGTCACAAGTGACCTCCCTCCTTCCACCGAGGGAGGGAACGATAAGCTCCTTGCTTGCCGAGGATGGAGCGTATGAGCGAAGGACAAACTTCTGGCTTGTCCGTAGCGGTGGGAAGGTTCGATATAATTGACCCTCTCTTAGGTCGCGCCCGATCCCTATTAATACCCATAATAAGTATGATAAAAAAATCCCCCACCAGTGCCCCTATCTCTCGCTTTTGTCCGTCCTGTCCTGCCTCTTAGCCTTCCTTCTGTTCCTGTCTCCTTTCCGTTCCTTATATCCGTTCTTTCCGTTCTGTCTTGGCTTTTATTAGTTCCAAAACTAGTCATTTTCTGAAGAGAAGCTATTCATGTAGTATGGAGCCATAGTTCTTCAGAGCATAACGCGCCAGGTTGTTCCAGTCGTTTCTATCCTCAGGCTAAAAAGCCAAGGTAGCCGAACCCAGTCCTGACATCTGTTCTGGCTGATCACCCCTTGGGTCTGCGTTCTGGAGCAGCCGACGTATCCGTGCTAGAGCTCCGCTTCGCTACCTTCCTATGCAGGTCGGTTTNCATTGTATCTTGCCCCCGCGACAGCCTTACGGTCCCCTCATCCGTGTATCCAGTAACAGATAACCAATGCCGTCTTGTCTCATCTGGATCTCCCTAACCCGAGTAGCATATCTGCTCTTTCTGGTCGGCTGCCATGATGAGGTTCACTGGTCATATTACGTGATACCTTTTTTGCTCATTTTCTGACCCCCATGGGAGCCAAATCTTGACTGAACTTCGCTTCGCTTTTAAATATGGTCGATGTAATTGGGGCGAGATCGAGACCAGCCCCTTGTCTTGTATAGGGTTCCAAACCTGCGCTTCTTCAAATATCCCATAAGTGGGAGCTGGGGGCGAAAGCTGCTCGACTTACAAGGAGAGGAAGTGAGACTCGACGTTGCCAGGAGAGGTTTCAATATGCTCGACCGCTCCGTGGGGTCAATTGCATCTTTAGAAGTGAAGTCAAGGAATTTCTTGAATGGGTAGCTCCGACATAACTTACCCTCGCTTTTTCGAGGAAGAAAGTATCAGACCGCATGTCGTTCTCGGATCCCTTTTTTCCAGTTCCTTCCCAAACTCCCCTCTCCTTTCGCGTCGAGATCTTTGAACCTCTCCTTTCGCGTCGAGCATCTTCAAACCTTTCTCCTCTTTTTTTATCGTTCATATTTCGTTTTCTCACTATAACATATCATCTCGAAGCTTCCCGTGGGTGCTTGTTTTGAGCCCGGCCTGAGAGCACTGGTGCCCGGATCGACTAAGAAAAGGAAGTGCTTCGACGCAAAGCAAACTAGAACGCCCCCTTATCGAGGGTATTTATAGTGAGCCGACAGGCGAAGGGTGAGTCGCGTAGCGACGAATGGTACGAAGGAGACCGATTCCAAGCTTANCTTTATAATGCGGCAAGAGAAGTCATCCAATTCATAAGTCTTGTATGTACGAGAACGGAAAAAGAGGAATTCGGCTTCGAGCAGAGGTTTCGCAGAGGAGGTGGGCAGCCCTCCCTATAATCCGTCTCCAGACCTAGAAGGCCGTCAAGACTAGACTACTTCCCTCCCTCCGTTAAGAAAGAAAAGAGAGGGTCCGTAAGGAGTTCAAAGGCCCTTCCCCTGCACCGGTTGCCTGCTCTATGCGGTGTGGAGAAGGCGCATTTGATTTTAATAGGCCTTAATTCATCATTCTAACGAGACTTGGAGACCCCTCTAAGGTCCAATAGGTTCTAGCAATTCTTCCATAGAAGAGTGGTCAGTGGGGCTCAATCTAAAGTGGATCAAAGGTATTTATCCACCGGGCGAGCAAGAGCACCCCTGGTCGCAACTAATGTCGTAAGAGAAGAAATCGTATCGATACCCGGTCCAGTCACCCAAACCCAAGAAGATGAAGGAGAATTTGTGCTTCATTGTTCTTATATTATTAAGTCTTACTTCTTTCTTTCGATCGCGCCGGGATCCAAGGACAAGCGAGCCTGGTCTAAGTCTGTGTATGGCGAGGTTTCGACGAAACTTGCATATATGAGGCTTCGACCATCTTTTTTACAGGATGTTCTTTTGCAACCGCTTTTCTGTGCTTTCCGTATTTCATTGGACAACTCTTCTGCTTTTCATTCTCTTTGTCACCAGGCCATGCAGGTCTCTTTCAGTCCACACGGTCTAATAGATCTCTCAAAGAGTGGACGAAAAGAGCAGCTATTCCCCTAAGAGCTACAATCCCGCATCCAAATAGCAGCCTATTCTCGGCATAAGTCTGGATGGCTGCTATCTTTCAAAAGAGGAAGAGGACGGGGAAGTGTTGAACATAAGGCTGCTATCGGCAGGATAAATTCTAGATCCCTCTCTTTATCTCTTCTTTCCCCATTTCCACAAGATCCTTCCTCAAAAGGCTATACTCTTTAAGGATAAGGCCACTCTTTGGGCAAGAAGAGGGTTTTGAATGTAGGGGCCTTCCAACCTTTATGAGTGAGGAAGTAGCCCCATTCTCGAAATAGAATTTCTTGCGCTCTCTTTCGAACGCATTGGTCATTTCCTAAGCGCACGTTTGGGGCTTATCATGGGGTTTGGAACCCTCGTAAGGCCTCACAATAGCATACTTACGGTTCGGTGAACCTTAAAGGAATTAATCCGCACCCTCGATTGCATTAAAGTCTCATCATCCAGGTATGGTCAAGGTAAGTACAGATGGGGCCGCGAGAGGGATCGAAGTGCAAATCCGACTGGGCTCTATTTAAATCTCTGGTTTGAGGTTCGTGGGTTTGATGCCTCGGGGGAGGATCGATGTAATTGAGGAGTAAGGCTTTGAGGGATATTCTGTAGTAGTCGGCGAAGGGCCTTTACTGATCAAATGGGGGGCTCGACCCTTTATGACTTCACTTCGCTTCGAAAAGTTCGTTGGGTAGGTTTTTTTTAAAACAAGGGAAATTATGAACAATAAAAGCTTTCACCTATTTATACGATAGCGACGAAACCAACATTGCCTATCTGCCTACCGCCCGGCTTGCAAGCCCTTCGATAGCCCGTAACCTTCTCCGCCTGAACTGAACTTCGAAAGTGCTTCTCAACGGAATACACTTCTTCCTCCACACGGATAGAAAGTCAAGCGCTAAAGCTTGTTCGCCCGCTATACTCAACATACCCAGTCAAGTCACCTAGAAATACCCTTCCGCCGCTACCTTCATAAGTCAAGCCCTTGCCACGTAGCAAGACGGCATACTATAAGGCTCCTCGGCGCCTAGCTCGGCATCCCCACCCCAGCCTTGAGGCCAATTGAATCTATTCCTATCTTTCGAGATCCCATCGTGGAACGATAGCAACGAAGATGAGGTCAATTACATCGAGCCAATAGGCGAAGAGAGGATAGCCAAAGACGGGCCCCTCTAATGATTGGACAAAGGAAGAATACCCCCCAATCTTCTTTCTATGTTATGGCTGTGCCTAAGATGACTTTCCCATCGATCGAAAATGAACTAGCTTCATGACTTCTCTTACGAGATTCTTTTGATTGAGCGATCCCTTTCTTTGTGTTCAAGCAAGGGGGAGTCCCAATCAACTTTATTCATCTGCGTGAAAAGAATAGAATATCATATATTGTATATTAGCGGGTCCCCATGGCGACACCGAGAGAAGAACATGTAAATAAAGTAGTAGCGAAGGGTAGAAAGTCAGAATTTCCCTTTTCCGAATAGTCTCTTCCTGTCTTCTCTTGGCTTGTCTTCTCTATCTAGTCTTGGCTTCTATAGTCTTGCATCGTTAATCAATAAGGCACGGCCAACCTGGCTTCGCTTCGTTTGTTGGGTCGACACAAATTTCCTAAATCAAGGGGGAGAGCAAAGTGAGACTCGACCTATTTTCATGCATATCCTGAAGATGGCTCTCCTTCACTGGGAAGACACGGCCCGGACTCCCCCGGGGGGCAGCAGTGGGGAATCTTGGACAATGGGCGAAAGGGTTGGTGTGGCCAGCCTTTCCACAAGATCTCGGCCAGAGCCCCGTACCAATCACAAGAAGAACTGACTTTCCTTTTTTCGGCCAACAAATGATAGGGGGTCAGTCAAGAGGGCTAGGCCAGTCGGCGCGGACCGGTAGCGGAAGTTGCTTTGGCGTGTCGAAGGGAATCATATTCCATTGTTCTTCCCCCCCACCTTCCTTTGTTCTCGATCGATCTTGGTGAGAGAAAGGAATTCACCGAATGAGCAGGGGGGACACCCATCTCATCAATCCCTTTCGATGAAGAGTCCTTCCGGTCATAATCCTTCCTTGCCTCCCACAACTAGAGGAGAGCAAAGTGAGTCTCGAGAAGGCAATCGCCGCATGGCTCTTCCAATTCGATCTTCCGAATGGTCTGGGGTCTTTAGCTGGAATCGTCTTCTTTCGTGATTCCGGATGGTATGGGTTTGAATATCCTATTTACTTTCATTCTCCGGTCGAGCTATTGACATCTCTGCCCATCCCTCTTCCTCCACCTTTGCAGAAAGACTTTATCTCGGTCTGCAACGACTTTCTATTAGCCCTTTCTCAATATCTATTTCTTTTCTTGGACTCCACTATGGCCCAATGAGTGATAAACGTCGTCTTTTCCTTAGCGCGGAATTAGTTCGCTTCCTCATTCAGTCATCTTTCTCGATCATGACTTCTGGAACCCGACGGAAAGCATCACATCATCACACGCCCTGCCCTACAATAAGAAGAGAAAGTCGGAGAAGTCATTAGTCTCTAAGTCAGGTCAATTACATCGAGCCTCGTAAAAGAAAGTTCGTCAAGGAAGACCGCATAAGAAAATTCTACATAGGAAAATGAAGAAAGAAGACTGCCAATCGTCTTTGCGAAAAGGAAATCCAATTTCGGTAATCCGAATCCCGCTCCAATCCCGATCGCCTTCATGCAAGACCAAGACCCTATAGGGCAGAAATCCAGTTGCTGCATTTTGCAGCTATATGAGATGCAAAAAGTCGAATGGAAATGATAGCCTAGGAGTGAAATTGAGCTAATGAGATTTTGCAGCTATATAAAACGAAACTTTTGAAATTGAGACTGTGAAGGAAACAAACTTTTCGAAGCGAAGTGAAGTCACTGGAGAGGAGAGTTGGAACGTGTGAGATAGTCTTTTCAATAGCTGCATCTTGCTAACAGCAGAAGAGCTAAGCCTGAACTAGTCGTCGTCTGCTACAAAGAAGTCGATCGATCCAACTTTAGAAGCGAAGTGAAGTCATAGAAATTCGCTTCATCAATTTCAATCATTCTTCGGCTTCTTCATCAGCAAATCATTCTTCTTACTTCTTGATTTTGAGACGACTCAGCATAATAATATCAAGTAAGAGAACGGCGCATTCGAGAACATCTGTGCGGGGAAAATCAAACTATTGGATTCACGAGACTTACGAGCTGAGAATCTGATCCTTTACGGTGAAACCTTCTTTTCCAAAATTTATCTAAAGGTGGATAATAGGCAGGGTGAATGAGGATTGACCGATCGCAAGTTCCACTCACACCCGCGTTGAATTGATTGATCGGCCCGGGCAAGGAAATATACTCTATTTTCTTTTCGTTGGTGAACAAGCGAGCCAGCTAGTGATGCGAGTTCGCGATTATAGGAAATTCGATGAGTCATCGTATTGCTTCGCGAATGCCTTGCTGGTTCAACTAGAAAACCAATCCTACAGCTAGAAGGGAACTGGATAACGGATCAACCCTCACTCCGGAACTTGGCGAACGAATTTTTGAAAACCTTTCGGAAGTAGGAAGATTGAGTTTCTTTCTTTCGGAGCAGTTGGGGCGTACGACCGATCCGGAGATAGGGTATAGTTAGAGTTTGCTTTCCGCTAGCTGCAATATGTGCTTAGGAGAAGAATCCTGTCTTCTTCCTAGGGGATAAGCTCAATCAGGTTTTGGAGTATGAAGCCTTGCTTATCCTGCGCGTACCAAAGAATTCGTAGATCTGTTCCGTTACTCCAGTTCCAGTGGTAGAACCAACCTGGTGAACCAAGCGTATCTGGTCAAGCGAGGAGTGGAAGAAGAAGCTTTTAGGCGTGATCTCTCTCTGCTTTTCATAGGCCAGATGTGCCCGTAGGCTGAGCTGAGAGGAGATCGGTCTATTCCTTCTCCTTTCGATTCTGTGGTTTTGCTTCTTTGTTGGTGATCCAACCCCTTCTGTGCCGGCTGAGATCGCCTACGGGAGTTGCTTGAATGCCTCTTGCCACAAAATTCCCTTCCCTAGCGGACTCCTCGAGTGGGCTCCTCACCAATCGCCCCATTCCATAATAAATTCATCGAAGCCGAGCCCACGCTACTCCCCTTCAGCCAAAGCCCCAAGGCAATCGCTCAGTTATTGAAGATAGGACCACTTCCGCGGAAAGATGTAATTGAGAAGGAGAAGTATTGAATGTGGCCCCAAGGACGTACTGGGAAGTTATTCCCCTTCAACTTGACTTCTTTGCTCCTTCGGATTTAGCCAATAGTGGATTCTACGTCTATTTCTCTTGCAGTTGTCCAAACAAAGTTCCTTTTTTGATGGTGAGAAGTTGTTAGGCAGTCAAGTAGAACCGGACGGATGGAAGACTTGCTGAAATTCAATTGGGATGGACTGATCTCCTGAGACTGCAGACTACCATTTCATCACCTTGGGAGCATCCCCGGTTACGGAGTCTGTTGAAGTAAGTATTTGCTTCCATCTCGAAATGCTCTTTCATTCTTGTCATAACAAGGCAAAGTTCAGACTCATTATCTTCTTCAAAGTTTAATAACGATACCTATACCCAGACGAAGATCTGTCCCTGTAACTGCTTCACCAATCCCACTGCCTTAGCGGATTCAGTAGCAGTATTTGAAGTTTCGGAAAACTTCCCGGGAATCGTTGTGGTGCGAGGGTTTACCCAGGGCTTATTACCTGTCTTAACCTTAGAAGCGAATGGTGCTGCTAGTGCCAATGAAGGAAAGCAGGGGAGCAAAGTGAGACTCAAAGAACGAAGCGAAGCGAAGTCATAGTAGGGCAAATCAAATCGACTTTCACTGAGCTAATTACAAAGATTAGGCAACGCCTTGATTCTTGGAGCAGCAGACATCTGTCCATGGCTGGCCGAATCCCCCTTGTTAAAAAAGTCTCTAATACAATGGCATCCTACTTGATGCAAACTACTTAATCTGCCAACTAATGTGTTGATAGAAATTGAACGGATGCAGAGGCTCGACGCGAAAGGTTCAGAAGGAAGTGTATACCGGTAGGGATGTAGGAACCTAAACCTAACCGGCGTATGGGTGCGATCTCCGCAGGCAACAATCCGCCTCTGCAGCAGCAGCTACTCCTTTAGCTGGGTCTAAGACTATTGAGATGTTCGATGATGTCGCAACCACTCCAACCTCTGCCGTTGTTCCTTCAGCACATGGGCCCTCAGTGTCTTTGGCACAGCTTATGCAGATCTAAAGGTCTCCCAGATTGGAGGCTCCACTCTATCGACTAGACATGCCACCACAGCCACCACTGCGCTGTCTACCTCGGCTGACCGCACAGGTCTTTCTGGGCCCTCCTAGATCCTTGACTCCGGTACCTCTATTCATGCCTCATGCTCACCCTTGCAGAAGCCACTTCAGATAGTGTGACTGCATATGGATCTCCATTCTCTCTGTCTCACCATCACCACTAGCCGGTTTTTTGTTCTCTCTGTTTTACATATTCCTAAGTTGTCTATGAATTTCTTTTTCTGTTAGCCCCGTCTCATTTTATGCTTCCTCTTGCTCCGTACAGGATCGTCATACCAGCGCCCTAATTGGTCATGGTCGTAAGCGTGGGGGGCTCAAAACCATGGACTGTCTCCATCTGCCTTCTTCTGCTACTGGTGAGAGGCTGAAATCTAAAGTCAAGGAATGGTCGGGCCAACCAACGAAGAGCTTGATTACCTCTTTGAAGTCTTTTTCTATTCTCCGATAGAATAGTAATGGCTTGTGACAGTTAATCAATCGAAAGTCTGTTCTTAGTTAAAGATACCCACGCACATGAGGAAGAAGGGGTTCTTTGCAAGAATGCCTTTCGGGATTCGAGGAAAAAAAAGAAGTGATGCTCAAAATCCCGGGTAAACCTTTTTCAGTAGACAGAGAATTTGATGAAGTAGACATGGGATTGGGCAGCGGCAAAGATAGCCTGATCCAGGAATGGCGGGAGGGATTATTTGCCCAAGGCCCGAAATGCACAGATGCAAGAAGAGAGCAGAGGAGGATGATGCTAAGACCGGAAAAACATTCATTTACCTTCGAAAAGACTAGCAGAGAAAGGGTTCGGGGATTTTCACCGCAGCTGGTACGGAGTAAACGAGTTACGTATTAAAGCAAAGGGAACATAGACATACGGCGGGACAGCGCGAAAAAAATAATCTTTTGGTGACTTCTCTAATCCCTTAGCTAACCCACGTCTCCGCCAGTGGTATGAATTATTAATTTTATTCGGGAATAGCCTTTACTAAGCGTAAGCGAAAGCAGGCTGGATTGCAGGATTGACAGAGCCGGGACAGTGCAGGAAGGAAGTATGAGAGCAAGGCGAGGAGGAAGCATGAACTTTAAGAGAGCCCGCCTTCTTCTTCGAAGGCGATGAAGACGTAGATTTTGAGTCGTCCGGGTAAGCCGGCGTATTCCTCTCATCCATCCCACAGACTACCTCCGTACCACCCGAGAAGAGCGCCCTCACCGCAAATCCAAAAGCAAAGGCTAGCCCGCCTGAGAAGCCCATCTTGATCAATAAAGACGAGATGGTGCGGCTTCCCGCGGCTATGAATGCCTTAGAAAGGAGAAACTGAAAGACTTCCATTTGGTTAAGAACCAAAAATATGGAATAAGATAGAGTGAGAAAAACCACGAGGAGCAGACACCGGTCAAATTTCGCACCTTCTAACCACTCCCTAGTTCTCTTTCATCGATTGATATGGGAATAGCAAGCAACCACTCCACTTCTATTATAGGGAATCAGACTCTATAGCGCCACTTCTTTTTCTTTTCCAAGCCTATCCGGTTTACCGACCTCTCGACTCCATTTCGGAGCACTACTGAGAGATGCATTGGCTCCTGGCTCGAGCTGACAGACGGACATCCCGGTTTTTCTTCTCTTATGATAATAGGCGCTTGATCAGCTTTCTTAGGCCGATCTTCTTTATATCCTGTAAGCTTTAGATGGACTTACCGGAGACATCAGTCCTATCCCCAGCAGTTCCTTCAGTTTCAGCAACTGAAAGTAGACCGGAAACAGCAAGTACATCAGCTCCAGTTTCAGCCTCGTCATCTAAGCTTGGAGCCGAACCAGTCACTCTTACTTAAGAGATATCAGCTCCAGATATCGTAACTGCAACATCAGTCTCAGCTCTTTCAGTACCAGTTGAAGCTCTAGCTCCGTAACCAACCGAGACTGGAGTCACGTCATTGCTAACATCAGTTCCAGTTCAGTCTCTCTTAGTCCCATCCGCTGGTATTGGATCTGTCTACATCTCCAAGAAATGTCTTATTTAGAAGGGCAATCAAGAGGTCAATTATATCGAGCCATGGTTGGCCGTATGCCTGGGGGTTCAAGTAGCTCCTTTCATTGAGTCGTTGGTGCCATATCTTCCTGTGGTGCCAGGCGTATAGTCGCTCACTTGAATTGCCGCTTTCCTGCCGAACTCTCTTCTAATCTCCATTCCTATTTGTGCAAAGGATTGGCTCGATGTAATTGACCTCTCTTGCTTCCTTAGAAAGAAAGCTTCAAACAGCACCCTTTCGCCTCAGCCCCACAATAAATTACGTTACGTAGAGTTAAGATGAAACCTTTCATGTTGCCGAACCTGTTGGAGAAAGTGAAGTGAGATTTGGATAATCGGGAATAGGGTAGGCTTCATAGGAGGATTTCCCTAGAAGGTTGGAGTTTGCACCTCTAATTGAATTTCCAGCCATTGATCTAATTCGCAAGTAGAGGTTGGCGGGGAAGTTGCAATTGGATTCCTAGGCGAATAGCATATTTCCACCATCAACTACTACTTATTAGAAAAGGACCTTTCTTTCTGCTACATTTCAGTACACCCCGCCTTTATTCATATCGCCCGCCTTGACACTTTAATATCAAGGTACTCTAAGTTCTAAGTGAAAGTCAATACAGGTGCCGCATCTTCTCCTTAATCGTAAATAGCTTCCCTTGATCAGGTTGACGAGCTTACCCTGGGGTTAGACTTTAATAGCCAGACAGGCGAAGAGTCAGAATAAGCCAAGAGGGGGAAATTCAACCTCTGATANGATTCTTCCTCCACTGATCACTACCTTTGAGCTAACTGTATTCGGCAAGACCGCCTATTCAGAAAAGACTGGTGATTCCTTTACTCTAATGCTAATGGGATCCGAAAGAAAAAAGACTGTTATTAGTTAGTATACCGACCCAACGAACGAAGCGAAGCGAAGTGAAGTCAAAGACGGAGTTGGATAGGAGAGAATCGAATCGGTTTCCGCCTCAGTCTTCGAGCTTCTCGTTGGAGTACTAAGCCCATCGAATTACAGTGTACGAGAAAGCCAGTTCTCCAGGGAAGATACCTGGGATGGGAGTAGCCGACCATTATTTCATAGATGGGGTCTGATAGAGCTCGACTGAAAGGTACAAACGAAGCGAAGTGAAGTCAAGAATAAACCAATTAATCAAAAATCGATTATGATTTTGAATCGTCACAGTTCCGCTTCTACCTCTAAAATGGGGGAAGACTTGGGAAAGAGCGTTGGTTTATCCAACGGGAAATGGTTTTGGGAGGGGGAGTGGGTTAGGTTCTTTGAGATATACTCATTAATTATTTTCTTATAGAGAAAAGTAAATCCAATGCACAGAACAGGTGTGACTGAAGCATACCATGGACCCGAGGCATCTTCTTACCACACGGGAGTAGGTCCCTAAATCGATGAAAGCGCTTACTCTTTACTGCTTTCCCAAAACAACGAGCCAAGAGAGGACAAGAGCCTGGTAGAGTTACGACTATCGCTAGCGGCCTGAGTGAGCAAGCCCTTTGATTAGAGCACGAGCTAAATAGTACTCTTCTCCTATGTTAAAGGAAAGTGCCTGAACCTTGCTCGTTTACATCTGGATAAGACAATAGGGATACACTCGAACGATAGAGAATTCATTCCTCTCCCTTCTCTCCGGTTGAGTGACTGAACTTCGCTTTGCTTCGTTCTTTGAGTCTCACTTTGCTCTCCTGGTATAGGTATAAGAAAGCCAGTAGAGCTAAATAGAGGTAGACTTTACAGACTCTGGATGATCCTATGCTTAATGCATTATCCAATTCAAGTGAGATGCCGAAGGCAAAGTACTTTAAGAAGGGAAGAGCTTGGCCTAGAATGAGCAAGGGATAGAGATGATGGTATGAATCAGGGTCTGAAAAGTCCATTCTCTATTCTATAACTTAGTGATTCGCTGAACCGTGCAAGTCTTTCCAATCGCTGACGCGACAAAGACTTTTCGTTCGTAAGCACTGAGCGAGCCGTCTTGTTGTCTACGAAGCTTCACTGCTTCTCCTGGTTGGTGTTCCGAGGAGTGGAGGGTAAGATCTGGAAGTCAGTCACAAACTGAATCTGGAACAGCTGCTCTTCAAGCGATTTCACCGCCTCAAAAGATTGTCGAACTTCAGGGTTATTCATCGATATATGGGTAATCTTCGGCGGTCAGAGAAGATAAGATCTCTACTCTATGAAAGCAGGAGGTCTTAAACATTATCAAATGCGGGAAGGTTAGACATTCAGTTCGATGAGGGCAGGTTCCTACATATTCATTTGAATTAATTGATTCTCCTTGACAAGCATACAGCTCAAAAGGTTAGAAAGAAAGTTACACAGATCCATTTCTGCTCTTCCTTACCTCTCCTTTCGCGTCGAGTGACCTTGATTGACTGAACTTCGCTTCGCCTCAACTTCGTCGACCCTCTCCTTTTAGTCGTTCGATTACATTGACCTCTTTCGGACATTTTTTTACCAGCTCCATCATCCACATGTCATATGCCATTGGCGTGGGTCCCATTCGTCATGTGCCCTTTTACGGGATCCCATTCCCAGTAAGTAGAAGTAAGTAGACCGACTACCCAAAAGTTTAACAATAAGAGCATTACGCCGCGGCTTCCTTAGCAAGCAAAAGAGATTGACGCGTAGAAGAAAGCAAAAGACTAAAGAAAGGCTTCGACAAAGTTCCGAGACTTCCAGAAACCGCTCCGTGGGCTAGATCATACCAGCCAGAACCTGCAAAGGGGAAGATGAATGAATTTATGGAATGATATATTTAAACTAAACTGCCTTCCGCCGACCTGGCCTTTGGACGACACCTTTCGAAAGCTTTCGAAAGATAAAGTGAGTGAACCCTCGGCAATCTTGCTAGCCGACACCGGCTTCCTGCTTTCTGATGTGGGAGTGTCCTCGTCTTCTTCCTTTCCCCTCTACCAACTGATAAGGAAGTAAGAGACCGGAAGGAAATCTCCGGGGGCCCCCTAATCTAATAAGCTCGGCCAGGAAAGAGCGAAGGCTGGGCTTGATTTGATATAAAGTCCAGGGACTGAACTTCGCTTCGTTTGTTTGGTCGAGCGTTAAAAAGGCAACCTCTCAAGCTTCAATTACATCGAACCTTCCTTCGACATTCACAGAAGAGAGAAATCCGTGTAGTAGAACAACAATCACCACAGAACTGTAATATGCCTTTGTTATTGTTGATGATTTTGGATTGGCATCCTTCCAGGCAACAAAGCATGATGGTACAAGATGGACTTCAAATAAGGAGAAGATGCCCAATAAGAGCTAAGCGTAGCGAAGATACCTAAAAGAAGGAACAACAAGAACAACTCATAGCTCGGAATGTAGATTTGATTATGAGTCTGGTCGTCAATTGTATCGAACCTAAACCTAAGGCTCGACTTCTTTTCCTTCACTTCGCTTCGTTCTTAGAGTGGCTTTCGCTCCAATCTTCCCGTCTTCTGGTCATCCCTTATGAAAATATTTTCAAGTTTCTGCCTTACTGATCCACCAGTAACATATTGTCTCCCTTCTAAGACTTCTCTAACCGGTTTTTGACTTCACTTCGCTTCGTTCGTTGGGTCGATGTAATTGAGTTAAGCACTAGATCCACACAGCTAATGGCATCAGATTCGATTTCCAGTTTACTGAAGCCTCGCTGGTGTGCGATCTCCATTTGTGGATGGGCTCCCAATTCTTTTGAATTGAAAAAGTGGAATAAATCAAATCTCCTGTAGGGACTGGCCAAAAAGACAAGCCCACTAGCTAAAGAAGGGGTAGAATATCCAAGTATTAAAACAAAAGGTCACAAGCCGACCCAATGAACTAAAAGCGAGCATTGTATAGTGAAGAGACATCTTTCAAAACATAAGGCTTTAGAAAGTCCGGGCAAGTTTCCCACCAACAAAACTCTAAGCCCGCTTTGCTAAGACAATCGGCTGATCTACGACCACCCTCTCTTTGACTTCACTGCGCTTCGCTTCGTTTGTACACTTCGCTTCGCTTCGTTTTTAGAGTCTCACTTTGCTCTCCTGTGCCTCCCTTACTGAAACGCCGGATCTCATTAGCGGATGTCATCCTGAAACGCCATATGACGACGATCGGCCCAAAGCCGATAGAAGAACTGATAGAGATTGGGTATCCGAAGAAGTTTATGAACGGCCCAATGCCGTTGACAATGATCTGGATGTCGAAAAAGATAAGGAGACTCTAAAGAATGATGAGCGGCCTAGCGTCGTCGCAATCATGCTATACTGCCATGGGAAAAAGACTTCCACCAGTGTATCAGTGGCTTTTCCCCTTCAAGCTGCAGTCAGAAGGAGTCCTCCCGCCAAAGGCAAGACTTTCTCTCGAGAGTCAGAGCTTCGAGACGACTTTCGCAGATGTTTAATCTTGCGAGGCGTATGAGCAAGATTTTGAGTACTCTCCCGACCTGTTAGAGGCCACCCTAATAAGCAGAGATTGCCGGGAAAACGTTGCTCAACAAGAAGATCTCAGTAACCAACTCGAAAAAGGAGACCCTGGCATAACAAGTGGTGATCTCTGTACGTCAATGTTATGCTAATTGTGAAGAACCCACAGCCGGGAGCGTTAGCAACTGGATTTTCCCACACTCCGTTATACCCTTCCCTTGGGGGATGGCTTGGTGCTAATGTAGGACTTTCGGAGACCTTCCGCTTGCTGTTTTGGTCCAGCCTGAGTTGCCATAACTTCTACTGTGATTTAGTTTGGAATTGAATATAGTTAAAAGTTTTGTTTGGCTGTAGGCAGAAGTCTTTGGTTCCGCTTTGTTAACAAACGTGCCTCTCTTTGCTTTCTCACTTTCCCAGAACTGCTACTTTCCTGCTTTTAGTACATTGCTTTTCGTATCATCTATGATAATTCTCGTTTCAGAAACTCCTCAATATAGTCGTTTCGGTAGTCCAAAGCAAGCTATCGACATTGAGACTGTAACGCTTAACAAAAGCGGGCATTGTGCGTTGTTTGCATTCGAATCGAAATCGGAGCTACTACTAATACACTCAAGCTAGGGAATAGAAGAAGCAGCTTACTAATAGAATAAGCAGACCAGAGTTTAGGTGGTAGTTCCAGAAGAGGGTTAGCTGATGATACAAACTTTTCGAAGCGAAGTGAAGTCATAGAAGCTGGAATACTTGGACGAAAGAGTGAAAATCAATCGAATCAAAGACTTGTTGCCTATGAGGCTTAGCTCGTCTTTCCTGCTATGATCCGAGTCACTATTTCAAAGAGTGAAAAAGAGCGTCAATAGTCTCTGCCGTTGCAAGTCCTTTCTTTTTAGGAATGCTAAATATGAACCGATTGACAAGTCTGCATCCATTTCTTCATCCCCCACTACGCGGTGACTTCACTTCGCTTTGCTTCGTTCGTACCATACTCTTCATTTTCAGTTAGCTAAGGTTGGCGGATAGGGGCAGCAGGGGGTTGGGGGAGAGCCGAGGGTGCACACTGCCTTGTTAACTTCCAACTCCTTCTTAAGCGCTTTCGGGAAAGGAAGGAGGCATTGGAGAGAAATAGGCATGGTGGCCTAGGCATCGGAAGAGAGTTCATCACAACATGCTTTGAAGTCGTCCGCTCTTAGAGTGTTGATCCGGTCTTTGCCATTCTTGATCCGCACGGTGGACTCTTTTCACGCTAGTTCTGTGATCCGAGGTTCGATATAATTGACCTTGGGTTCATATTATTGATCGAATCCCCTTCGTTATGGAAGAAAAACATTTTCATGTTAGTGAGATGCCCCACTGCCTTCTATCATCCTCCTCTTTTTATCGGTATAGGCTTCGAAAGCAATCTCCCACACAAAGGAGTAGCATTGACAAAGAATGATGTAACCAACTTCCTTCTTCATTCCGGGCGCTTTCTTTCGAAAAAGTCCTTTATAGGACGATTCCTCTCGAAACCATCCACACTATTCCAATAGGGAAGAGTTTAATCTGAAACTCTCCAGACGGGAACTCTTCTCCGGGAAAAAGGCACGCACTCGCCATTCTTAGAGAGCCAGACGGCCAAGCTCACTCTTGTCTACATCCTTTGGTCCTTCAACCAGGGTCCTATGGAAGGAAGTTGATGGGTCCTTGGACTCCACTAAAAGACCATAAAGAAAGACTTCGTCGATCAAAGAGACAAACAAAGGGAGAGGGGACAACATAGGGGCAGGTCATAAGAGTAAAACGAAGAAAGGATAGATTAAATCACTGTCTGAAGAAAGATTATGACGTGTGCTGGTGTAGGAGCTCCCACTTTGTGAAAGAATCGATAGCTACTAAGAGTTGATGTATGAATGTCTAATTGGCCGCCTTCCTATGATATCTAGGCAATATACTGCAAAGGGCCATGGTGTAGTTTTGTTATGAAGCTCCGTCGGCGACGCGTAGATCAAATTCGCATGTACTTGGCACTTGTGGCATCTTTAAATGGATGCAATCCCTCTCCATCGTACAAGAGTAATAGAAGTAATAGAATATCCTAAGCGAAGTCTTTTTTTGGCAAGCCTGTGCCCATTCATGTGTGGACCGCAGACTCCTTCATGCACCTGGAAACTCATCTCTTTGGCCTTCCTTTCATCTAGACAAAAAAAACAGAATGTTGTTGGTTGACTTTTTTATACAACCTATCCCCACAGATTACGGACTACATGGCTAGTCTCTGAATGGTCTGCCGATTTCTCGGTCTGGCGGCGGGAGTGGTTGCTCTCATACCTATAGGTACAGACTAAAGCGGCAGATTCAAGCGCATGAGTTCAGAGGGATCAGTTGAACTAGATCGTGATCTGAATATGAAATGGATTCCAGGGACATTTCTATAAACACAAGAAACGATCTTGTGGACTTACAAAACGGATTGAGAACTTGCCAGAAAAAATGAGTGAGCCTACCTTTGTGATTGCTTATTCGAAGGCAGACTTGGACTCCTTTCCTTGGACCAGGCACCAAAGCAAGCAAGAGATTGAAGCGGGGCATGGGAGACACGAAGTCTTGCGAAACTTCTATGACTTCACTTCGCTTCGAAAAGTTCGTTTGGACGCCTCATTCCATTAAGCAAGAACCCGAGAGCAGGGCAGATGAAGTCGACAAATCGGGTCTAAAAGCGCCCGTACATATCAATTTATTAAAAACCTATCTATCCCCTAACTTATTTGACTAATGAGAGGATTTTATGAATCCGCCAGTGGGTGCCGCCAGATGCGAGCCCTTGCTACGGTCTTTACAGGGGAATTCTTTCAATAAAGGCCAGATTTACCAGTTGACCAGTTTCGGGAGACTAAAAAGTTGCAGAAAAAAAGGAGGTTGATAACCGATTGCGCCGGACTGGTATACTTATCCTCTTGGCTTTGCTTTACTTTAATATCATATATTCGATTGGAAGAGAAGCGCACCTTTACTCATGCACTCAACAACTCCTGAAAGAAGGAACTGGTTTGGTCACTCATGAGCTATCTTACTAAAGGAATTCCAGTCTCCCGCCGTCGAGGATCGATGTAATTGAGAGAAGTGTGCCTTTTAATTAAACTAATGGCATCCCTTTTCTTGCTTACTTCGCTAGCAAGGTATTACCGATTTCAGACAGAAGAGGGGTTGGACCAGACCAGCGTTGAGCTAGATTCGAGATTCCAGATGCTGTTACAGGACAAAAGACCGAAAGATATTCGAGTCAGGTTCTCAATTTCAACAACCGGAAAATTGATCTTTCTTTTTTATGCAATATTTTGTTCTTCTGAATCTCGATTCTGCTAGTTGACTTGTGAGTTTCCCCTCTCTGGAATCAGCATCTGCAGCACTCTCTTTCGTTGCCTTTCGCGCCCCTTCCGAAGGAACTCTTTGACTTCACTGAACAAGCAACGGATTGAGCAACTAGCGCGAAAGCCGTTGCGCTAACGCGCATCCGTTTTCTTGCTGCTTCGCTTCGTTTTTAGAGTCTCACTTTGCTCTCCTGGTTTGGGATATTGGAGTCAAAGCTAATCGTCTATCGACGCTACTTGTCTTTTATCGTGGAGTTTCAGAATGAGTGACGCTTCTTTCGAATATTAGATACGCGCCTTACTGAAAGAAGTCTATCTGACATTGAGCGGCATACTCATCAGTTGTAGCAATCCTCTCTATTGAGTAAGGGAAGTTATCTTTATTACATTCTCTGTGCTCACTCTTCTCTTCCCGTCTTTATATAGACTCTAAAAGGAAGCCTAAAGAAGATAGTTGAGTAAGTTAGCTATCAAGATAAAGAAGAGATCTATTCTTTACCTATGAGATGAGACCTTGTTGGTGTGATCGTTTCCGCTGTGATTGTTTATGTAAGTGTGAAAGAAACCCCTGCAGATCTGATCGTATCGGGTGCTTGAGTATGAGTCAGAGTTGTTACCAATCCTGCAGTTGCCGCTGCTAGTGCTTTCGTAACCGGTCTTCTTCCCACCCACGGTGCGGTAAGTCAATCATCCATTGCTCTCTTAGCCTCAGGAATGAACAGAGATAGAAGAAGAAATGCCACATCTTCCCGTCGGCAGGACGGCTGAAAAAGATCCTGCTGCGAACTGTTCTGTGGCTGGACAGGAGAGAGGTCAACAGCTACTTGGAATCAACGAGCTTCTTTCTGAAGTAATGCCTGTAATATATATTAATAGAGATTGTAATTCAAAATGAAAAGGAATGAGTATAATGACTATAAAGAGCAGCTGTTTGATCTTTGGGGTTGGCCAGTCCTCATAGTAACCGTGGTGGATCTAAGGGGGTCGTTAGCGATTAACTAAGAAAATAGAAAGGGTCGATATAATTGAGATGCAAAACCTGAATAAAGGAATTTTCATGCCCGGACATTGCCCTATGGCCCACTCGATGACATGGGACCTACTCGCTGATAGGACAGTAAGAGGTCAATTACATCGAACCTCCAGACTGACTGGTTGGCTCACATAGAACCAGTACCAAGCCAATAGCGAGCAAGAGAACCTTTCTTTTCTTTAGAACTAGGATGAACTGGGAGAGGATCGATGTAATTGAGGCCGGCAACTTCCGTACACAGATATAGATTCATTCTTCGTACCTGGTCCAACCTCACAACCCTGATTTTTGACTGAACTGCGCTTCGAAAAGTTTGTATGGTCAGAAGTCAGTGAAGTTTGGTAAGACGGAATTGGACAAAGAAAAGAGAGTGCTCGACCGGCCAACAACGTAATTACATAGATAACAGCTCCTCCCCTTATCCGTCTTTAAGGCTTTAAGGTGAACCGCGCCTGTTGATATAGCTTAGAAAAGGGAAAAGAGACCTCACCTTCTTGAGCATGGTGTCAGCGAGAGCAACTTTTTTCTCCCCCAACGAACGAAGCGAAGTTCAGTCATAGAAGAAAGAGAAGAAGAGGGGCCGATCTCTTTGGAGCACCAATCTTTATTTATTGAATTTTTTTTGGGTGTATAGCTCAGTTGGTAGAGCATTGGGCTTTTAACCTAATGGTCGCAGGTTCAAGTCCTGCTATACCCAAACCTACCTTACACTATACTAGAAGTAAGGTCAATTATATCGAACGTTGAAAGATCACTCTTTGCCCTTTAGCCTCGCTTCAGCTACTTCGCCCTTTAAGTGACAAGGGGGTGAGGTAAGGAGTAGTAAGTGGCTCGGTCATCAATAGACCTCTCTTTATTCATTCTATAGGGCTCGTGCCTTCCTTCGTTCCTTCACTCTGACGGAAGCTTCCCCATCTTAGAGAAGGGATCAGGGTACAGATGGACTCTCTTTTCCTAGAACTTATACCAGGGGTGTTAGGAGGGAGAAGGAAGGTAAGCCAGAGAATGGAAGACTCGAGACAGAAGGTAAGACTCATTGTTGATTATTAGACCACTATGGCTAGACGAAAATGAGAAAGTTTTCCACCTCTCTTTCTCTTTCGGTATTCGGCTAGTTGTAGGCGCTAAGGCGTCAAGGGCTGCTCGCCTTTAGACTATCGGCTTGAGTTGTTCAAGCAAACCTTGAGTAGAGAGAGAAGGCTAGACCTAGCTCTCATTTGATCAATCCGATCTAACGGAGGTTGGTCGTAGATCAGAGAGATCCGCCTATGATTTCACTGCCGCAGTATCCATAATCCGTGTTGATTCATCCCCAACAGCAGTAGCTAGTACCATCGAATTAGGTGGACGCCCTGCAGAGGCTACAATGTCATTAATAGCATTTTGAATCTCCTCCACCAAGGCTGCAAAAGTGTTGTTGGCAAGGGGGCAATTATCATAGCACCTGAAGTGGATGGAGGCTTGATGTAATTAACCTTTCCTTTGGACACCTCTTTAGGGCGATAGATTTGGTCCTGTCGAACTCGCGAACGACCACGCCTCAATTACATCGACCCTCGGGGTCTTTCGACTTATTCCACTTACAGTTAGCAAGAGAATGACCAATCATAGTAGAGTGCGAACAGTAAGAAGGCAATCTCTCATAATCCAACGAGATGAAAGCACAATGACCTTGCCTTTCGATCAAAACCGAATCCGGTTTCCAAATAGAATCTATATAAAATCATCTCTTGCCCTACTTTCGAAGTTAGACAGAGGACTGGTACACCACTTGCTCCTCCTACTGCTTGCCTGTGACGCTTAGGATTTCAGACTGAAGGTCTGAGCCTACACACCTACACGCTCGTACTCGTGCTCATACTAGGGAAGAGGTACCAAAGAAGGTAGATAACCTTTAGCTGCCTTGCCTACGTGTGTACGTGCTTTCCTAACTTGCTGCGTGTAACGGTCTGTGTTCAGAGGTTAGACAGATATACGCCCAAGCCCATGTCTCCTGCTGGAGTTCCTTCGCTCGTTCTCCTCTTAGTTAGACTGAGGAATGGCGTAACCCATAGCTATCTGCCGACGCTTGACTTGCGTCACCGGTTAACTCTTCCTTCCTTTCTGGCTCGTGTGTGCTGGTCCCGTAGATCACACTCCCTG